TATATATATATATATATATATATATATAAAAATTTGCAAACTTTGCAAGGCTATATTTTCCGTATTTTACAACGTTTCGCAACCAAAGTTTGCAATATAATAATTTACTTATTTTAGTATGTTCTTTCTAGCTGTGGTGATTTATTTGCATCTCTTTGCCTAGTTCTAAAATTTGTCTATAATGAAGGGAATAAGAGACTATTTATTTGGCTTCCATTTAAGAATATTAATATTAAAGGTCTTATTATAAACAATCATTGTTATTTGTTGTTAAGTTGTTTTGTGATACGTTTTTAAAACTACTAATGTTTTTTCAAATTAGTAAATATTTTCAAAGCCCCCCCTTCTTTCGTCTCTCTGTATTTTCGAAGGCCCTCTTTCAGGTTTTAAAAAATTTAAAGGCCCCCCAGTTTCTCCTCAATCCCCCCTGTACAATAAATAATGAGCGGTCCCTTACCACAGAATAAGGCACACAGAAGGGCCACTTACGTCAGAAGCTTTGAAGTTTCTGTCACCCTGGCCGCCATCTTCCTAGCCAGTCGATTACATTTTCTGGCCAATAAACGCACTGTATTGGCTGAAGGCCCCGCCTTCTGGCCAGTCAACTGCATATTTTTGCATAGAAAAATGGCGACACGTTGCACCGCTGAGTGGCCCTTCTGGTACTGATCTTTATTCTGTGCCCTTACCATATACACTAACGGCAAGCTCGGTAAAAACTAGCACATACAAAAGTTTTTGTACTTAACTCTAGTCACTATATAGCCGGCAGTTTACTAAATAGTGCACATAGACACTTTGTAAAATGTATTTATAACTGGAAGTTTTCCATAGTTATTGTGTGGTCAACATTTGTTGTTCCACAGCTCTTCAGGCATCCTTACATGCTATCTGGACTTCACACAACCAACCCCTGGTCGAATGTATAATCTGCAAAGGTGTACCATACCTGACTGTGTAAATGTCTTCTGACAAACATCACATGCATATGGCCGTTCTCCAGTGTGTATTCTTGTGTGACATATTAACGCTGCAGCCATTGAAAATGACTTCTCACAAGTATTACATTTGTAAGGTTTGTCTTTTGCATGAGTTTTTTCGTGACACAATAATGTTACCAAATCCAAAAATCCTTGGCCACAAAGCTTGCATTTATAAGGCTCGTGATCAGTATGCGTCATACGATGTATTACAAACTCATCAGCAGTAACACAGATTTCACTACAAATGTCGCATTTGTAAAGTATTTTATCCATTACGTGTGATTTTTACTTGTATTTATTAAGCTTGGAGCAGCAACTAGGCAGCCTAGGCGTAGCAATATCAAATATGCATTAAATCAGGTATGTACTCATCTACGCACAATCTTGACAAATATGATATGAAATTGAAGGACTACAAACCAAAAGTACCACAAAGACAAAACTCCAAAGTCTGTTTATCTCTTTTATATCTGTTATTAAAAATCTTGATGCATTTCACGATTTCCGCATTTCATGCAACATTGCTTGATTGCTACATGCAACAGACGTTCTTTCTTCTCACGGTATTTATACTCACACGATCGGATCGCCCAAATCCCAATCGATCGGGATTAATATCGGGTCACTCAGATTCGGGGTGAAAACCACAGCTCACCCAAGCGGCAAGGCATCACCGAAGACCAAAGACATCAGCTCGCCCAAAACCCAAATACAAGACATCGGCCAGCGATTCACTTTTTTTTTATGAATTGAATATGAAAATTTACCATGAAATAGAGTATACATACTGCTGACACATCGCTGCCTCATTTCATCACCTAATTTCTTCTGCATCAAATCAAATTTATATACAGGGCTTCAAAACAGCGAGTTCAAGTTGTAATTAATTAAACTTTAATTCATTTGAAATACGTTAGAATTTCCTGAAGGCAGCAGACGGTAGGTGAATATTTTCTACCTTATTTTATATACTTTTTAATTAATTTAAGTGCTGAGACCATTTGTATTAATTTGAGCTTTTCTGTTAAATATTAAATAGATGGATGTAAAAAGTAATGGAGTCCCTGATGGAAAGATTGGAATAAAGTCACATAAGTGCGAAATTTGTTCCAAGGTATACCCTAAATTATCGCACTTGCTTCGCCATAAAAGGTCACATACTGGAGACAGACCTTTCAGATGTCATATTTGTCATGTGTCCTTTAGACGTAATGAACAAGTGGTACTTCATGTAAAAAGAAAACATAAGGGACAGAACCCCTACAGGTGTATCACATGCCATCAAACATTTGCACAATCAAGCGATTTAGTGTCTCACAAAAAGACACATAGCAGTGAAAGAGTTCACCAGTGCAATATTTGCAAGCAGTTATTTCGTACCAAGGTGACTTAGTGATTCACACCAGAAACACACAGGTGAACGCCCTTTTCAATGTGGCATCTGTGGTATGGCATTTGCAAGACCACGTTGTTTGGTTCGGCATAAAACAATCCATGCTGAAGATAAAGCATATCAATGTGATATATGTCCCAAGTCATTTGCACGTAGCGACAATCTGGCAGCACATAAACGAACACATTCCACAGAAAGACCTTTCACCTGTGACATTTGCAGTAAATCATTTAAGGATTCTTCATATTTGATAAATCACAAAAAAACACATGCTGGAGAAAAGCCTTACAGTTGTGATATTTGCCAAAAACCATTTTCGTATAAAACTGTGCTACGTGTCCATATCAGAAGTCAACACACTGGAGAAAGACCATTTCAGTGTGGTATTTGTAAGAAGGCATTTTACAAAAGACAAACTATGGGACGCCACATGAAGACACACACTGGTGAGAAGAATTACCAGTGTGATTCTTGTGGTAAACAGTTCACAAGGTCAACTGCTCTAAAGTCTCATAAACCAACTGATATTGGTGGAAAGCATTATGAGTGTGATATGTGTTTCATAACGTTTATGAGGAAGGCGTGCTTACAGCATCACAAGAAAGAACATGCTTGCAAAACAGAGTACAAACATCACAAAACAACTCACTACATGATAATCAAAGTGTGTCAATAGATGAAAATAATTTTGAATGTAGTAACTGTGACCTGCATTGTTCTTCGCAAAGCTCTTTACAACATCACCAGAGAAATGATTGCAAAGCAACTAAATGTCAACAAATAGTTTGTGAAGCACAAGAGTCACCATCTAGGAAAGATACTACAAGCACAGACGAATTGCCAGACTTTAATTCTAGTCATGATGCACATCCTCTTTCTTACAAATGTGAAGCTTGCGATAAGTACTTTGTTTCTTCAGAGAAATTAAGATCCCACACGTGTATTGGAGTGAAAAAGGAACCACATTCAAATTGTATTGTGAACAAAACACTAATAAGACATGTGTGATGTATATAACTGTGGTTTGGTGGAGACTACAACCAATGAAACAATACCTGATGTTGGGTTCATATGCTTTCATTGTGCTACTATGTTTGATTCACCCACTGAATTGGAAAATCACCTAGCTGCAGTTCATTATAACGATTTCAGTTCTTAATTAACAGCAGAATTTCTGACCTATAGTCAGGTTGAAAAGAACATATCACTACAGGGATATACTAGCCATAGTGATTGATATTTTATGTTTTGTTACCATGACTGTTTTTAAGACTTTAAGCCAAAACTGTAAAACATTAAGCTATAGTTTAAAATAGATAATTTTTGATATTTTACAGTAATGGTGTGAATATATATTTTAAAAGGTATGCAAACAGACGTGTTACAGTAAAATTAATATACCTATAGCAATAGCTGATGAGACATTCAGCTGCGTGTATGGATGCGTGATCACATTTCTTAGATGTCACATGTGGATTATAAAGAAATAATTTACAGAAGTAGTCGGTAGTATTTGGATCAGTCGGTCAGCCAGTCAATCAATCATTCGGTAATGATATCCAGTGCTATGTTCACGCGAATATATTTCTCGACAGATTTCGATCTTAAAACGTCTCTGTGAACGACAGTGTGGGTTCATTCTGAGCTTCCCTGGAGTGTCAATACTGTTTTTGAATAGCTGGAGGGTTAGTGCCGTACCATACTATGTGACTACTCACCCTCCAGCTATTCAAAAACAACATTGACACTCAAGGGAAGCTCAGATTGAACCTCCACTCATTAAAATTCAATCCTCGACGTTTGAAAACCTTAAACAATAACCATCAGTAACCATCCACACCAACTGTTTTAAGCCACATAACGATGAATTAGTGAAGATTTAATTTTTAAAAAATAAACGCTATATTTGAATATTGAATTTCGAATGATATTTTTTCCTTTCTATTCGTCTCCGCCATTCATTTATTTAATTACATCATGTTCCTTGTAGTATATTCATACCTTCTGTTTTCTATTTCATATTTAATATGGAGCCGGCTGGCCCGATTAATCGGGATGATTCGTTTAATAATGCTCATATCACGGCTTTGATAAACATCCAAAACAACATTTCAAAGTTTAATTAGCTTAGTTTGATTCCAGTAACAGTATAAAGTTAATTAGCCTTTCTCACGCCGCCATTTTTGGGTGGCTTTTCAGCCGAAGTCTGCGAGATAAGTCCACATAACAGCGACGTTTTATAATTTTTGGGACGAATGATGGTAAATTTGCTTTGTAAATGGTTAGTTTACTTTGAAAAATTGCTTTTCACATTGTTTTAATTGTCTGCATTGGTTAACGAGAGTTAGATGCCACCCAAAAATGGCGGATATTCGTCATCGTGAGAAAGGCTAATTGGTTAGGAAAAAGGGTTAGCACTATTTTCCATCCAGCAAACTGACCTGACGTCATTTTCGGAAGATGGAAGAGGTGTTAAATGGCTATGTAACCCAGGAAAAAGCTTTTGTGAAACGATTCGTCCCGGTTCATACGGAACAACCCCTAACACAGTAACGCTAATATCTTCTATTGCTATTCTACTTACAAATATAAATCAAACAGTTCAAAAGAGTTATACAAATTACTTAAAAATGAATATCAAGTGAGTAAAGTGATGCTGACATCATTGCTGATCCAATTGAATTTGCTGCAACGGCAGCCACATTAGAACCTCCTGCCCCCAGGCCTGCCAAGGTTGAACACGATAGTCCAAGTGCGCCTGTAAATTTAAGAGAAGCCACAATTCCACCTGCTGGTGCTGACATCATTGATAATCCAATTGAATTTGCTGTAACGGCATGTGCAGCCACAGTAGAACCTCCTGCCCCCAGGCCTGCCAAAGTTGAAGAAGACAATCCAAGTGCGCCAGCAGTTTGAAGAGCAGCTGCAATCGAATTTGTTGTGATAGCAGCCACAGTAGAACCTGCTGCCCCCAGGCCTGCCAAAGTTGACGAAGATAATCCGAGTACGCCAGCAGATTGAAGAACGGCTACATAACTCCCAGCTGCAACCCCACCCCCATTAGCAATTGCAGATGCTGACATCACAGCTGCTCCAATTGAACCTGCTTTAACGCCAGCTGCGGTAAAACCTGCTGCCCCCAGGACAGCAGGTGCAGCTACAACTGCACCGACACCACCAACTATGGCACTGCCTATCGTCAATGTTGACAATCTAAATGCCATATTTCTAACCCAATTAAAAAGTTCTAATGGGCACTAATCAAGTCTAATGAATTACTCATCCAGTTTTACATCACTTGTATCAGACCTATTACCGAAGACGCGTGTCTGGTGTTTCATAGTCAACAAATTACTGATGATAGTATGATCTGGAGATGGTACAAAAAAGACTGCTATGGCTTATGCGAATCATTTCCCAATGGATTACATATAACGAGGCCTTAATAATCTGACTGCAGGTCGGTCTCCTATGACATGAAATCGTGAATAAAATATTCGACTCGTTGTGTTGACTCCTCGACTGTCAATTTAACTCGCCCAACGACGGAATCGACTCGTAGAATGACGATGTCGAATCTTTGTTACAGATTTTCAACTCGTCGTGTCGACTCCTTCTCGTCGACTCTTCGAACGACAGTATCGATTCGTCGAACGAGTAAACGACGATATCGATTATCGATTCGTTGTGTACTCAGCCAAACTCGACGATCCGCTCTACAGTTTCAGATTCCAGATTCAAATTCAGATTCATATGGGGTCAATTGAATTTGAATTCACATTCACTGAATTTGAATTCACATTCAAATTCAGATTCATTCAAACGGGGTCAATTGTCGCGTATAAAATGTGGAATTGCTCTGTCTCTTTTCACGGAATAAACGTAATTCGTCAAGGACATCCATCTTCAGACAATTGTGCATTTGACAAAACTATATTTTAGTTTTTAGCTCATAATGTGAAGCCAGGAAAAATCGCAGAAACTACACGACCAACGCGTAATTTCTTACTGCACCATGTTTGTCTTAAGCTGTCGGCAAAATTATTTTTCGCTGTGTATCGCAAAATACGAGTGTATTTCCCTAATTTCTGAAAGACATTCATTAGTACACTATAGTAAATGGTATAAAGAAAACTAGGTCTTAAAAACGTTACTTGTTTTGTCAGGAAAAATCGCAAATCATAGATCATGAGATACAGCTTTTGTAACCTGAAGCGAACGTCAACAACGCAGCTGAGAGAATAAACACTTCTCACGCGTCACAGGCTCACTTTGGAATATTCGTCTGCGAAAGACATTCATCTACAACTATCACAAAATGATACAACGCAGTTGTTATTTTCAAACAGCTTGTTGTTTTGGCAGGAAAAATCGCAATACACAACCGCTGTTGGAATCGAAAATCCGGGCGGGAATTAAGACTTTCATCACAGTTCATTTAGTCTCATATAAGCGAAGTTTCGTTTACCTTCGCAGTGAATCTTCACCAGTTGACTGTAAATTATGGTCAAGTTTAAAATACTCTAAAATTAGGCAAATATTTCTCGCGGAAAAAGGGCTTGGCATCGTTCTTTGGAAGAACGATAGGATATCAACCCCCCGGATTTTATTGTTTCAGATTCAAATTTCATAATAACAATCTCAGTGCGTATAATATAACAATCTTTTGCGATTTTTCCTGCGCATACCGTATTTACTCGTTTGAGCGCCGCGGCGCTCTTTAAATTTTTAGAGCTTCAGATGCGGCGCTCATTCAGGGGCGGCGCTCAATCGGGGGCGGCGCTCTTTAAAAAAATCGTTTATTTGTGAATTACATCAAGAACTTTTAATAATAAAATAAACAAGTTTTGAATGTCTTTGTCACTAAATGTCCCCATTTTGACGGCGAAAAGTTTTTACACTATTTAGTGCGGCGCTCATTCGGGGGCAGCGCTCTTTAAAAAACTTTGATCTCAAATGCGGCGCTCATTCGGGGGCGGCGCTCAATCGGGGGCGGCGCTCAATCGAGTAAATACGGTATGCGTTGCCGAATAGCGATAAGAACAGTGGCGAAGCTAGAGGTCGTGCTAGTCGTGCTGAGCACGAGTAAAATTTTTTCAAAGAAAAGAATTTTTTAGTCTTAAAAAAAAATTCCCCCAAAATTTTAAAAATGATTCGTCGTACACTTGCGTCATCTATTAAGTGCGAAATCCCTTCAAATCCGGTGATTTTGCCATGATTTTAAACCAATTCAAGGTATGATTGCGTAGTTTCACCCGACCGCAGGTTAATAGCACGACTAATGGGTAACCCGCCCGTTAGTCGTGCTCTCGTCAGGCCAGCACGACTAAATTATCAATTCCAACGCATTCTATTGGCTAAATTGCTCCTCGCGCATGCGTATCTCGCCGAATTTTATCTTCTGGTCGTGCTCATCTTCGAAAGCACGACCAAGTTAAATGCCGTAAATTATTCAGCAATTCTATCGAGATTTATTCAAGTGATCTTGGTTATGTATCTATGGAAATTGACCAACGTCAATCGAGTGAATAGTAGGAAGGCCTTCTGGCTTCTAACAAGATATTTTAGCTCACGAAATGCATGTGAACAGACTCGATTGTGTATTCTACTGTATTATAATGGCGAATATAAACAAGATTTGTGAAGGCCTTTCCTATTGATATAAATATATTTACTACCAGTTCATTTGCTTTATTCACGAGTGCTTATATATTTTGAGGTTTACAGATATACCAAATATCTAAACAAAGTATCTTTCAACATTAGGTTTCTGCTTCAGATTTACAAGGTCCTTGTAGACACTGTACATTACAGTTGACCTTTTACGCAATTCCAAATGAAAGATCATATTACAGCACTCAGCAGGGTATTAAAATGTACACATACAATATTATCCTCTTTCTTCTGCCAATATTGGCTATATTGAGGTCATTTGCAGATAAGTTTAAATATATAGTGAAATAAAATTAAATTTTGTGGAAATACAAATTTCAAAAACAAAAAGTATTAAGAATTTTCCTCTTTATATCACACTTTTTTGTAGCTTTCTTTGCATGAATTTCACCCTGAAATCGCAGGAAATGCCATTCCAGACTTCGAAAATCAAAATTTCCCGGGGGGCATGCCCCCGGACCCCCTTTACGCAGACTAACGCTGTTTCAGCTCGAATCTGAAACTGAATCTGAAACTACATGAAATTTGAATCTTAAACAAAACTATCCGGGGGGCTGACATCCTATCGTTTTTTCATAAAACGATTCCAAGACCTTTTTTGCAAAAGGTATTGGGCTGCTTTTGACATAATTCAAACTTCAGCATAATTTACAGTCAACTGGCTAAGATTCAGTGTGAAGACAAACAAAACATCGCTTATATCAGACTAAACGAACTGTGATGATAGTCTTAATGCCCACCCGGATTTTCGATTCCAACACTGGTTGTGCTTTGCGATTTTTCCTGCCGAAACAACAAGCTGTTTGAAAATAACAAGTGCGTTGTATCATTTTGTGATAGTTGTAGATGAATGTCTTTCGCAGACGAATATTCCAAACTAAGCGTGCGACGCGTGAGAAATGTTTATTCTCTCAGCTGCGTTGTTGACGTTCGCTTCAGGTTACAAAAGCCGTATCTCATGATCTATGATTTGCGATTTTTCCTGAGAAAACAACTGACGTTTTTAAGACCTAGTTTGCTTTATACGATTTACTACAGTGTACTAATGAATGTCTTTCAGAAATTAGGGAACTACACGCGTATTTTACGATACAAAGCGAAATATAAGTTTGTCGACAGGTCAAGACAAGCATGGCGCAGTACGAATTCACGCGTTGGCCGTGTAGTTTCTGCGATTTTTCCTGGCTTCACCTTATGAGCTAAAAATTAAATTATAGTTTTGTCAAATGCGCAATAGTCTGATAATGGATGTCCTTGATGAATTACGTTTATTCCGTGAAAATAGACTGAGCAATTCCACATTTTGTACCCCCGTTTCATATTCAAATCTGAATCTGAATATGAAACTTGAATCTGAAACTGTAGAGCGGATCGTAAAAATGCCCTGTCAAAACCATAGTTAATGAGTTCAAGAATTTATATTCCAAGATGGCGGAAAGCTCATTATCTTCAGTCCTCTGATTTCAGTGAATATTTCGAGAACTAAGCAAGATATGACAAATCGGTAATAGAGTTTAATATATAATTTTAAGAGTTCTTTTGAATGAAACAAACTAGTTTTTTATTGCCAATGTCCTTTATGTTCACAAGCCTTTCGAGTAGAAATTAATTACTTCAATTATTTCCACCCGGAAATTTTAACTTTGTCATTGATTTAATAATGACGACCAAGTGGCCCAACTTCCTAGACTTCCACCTTGTTACTACGACAAACGTTTCCCACCTTTTCAATGTCTGTTTCTACTTGATATTATGATTTATGCCCTTCCACTCAATAATCAAGTTGCCTGGCAGGGGCGTTCGGAGCAAGGCGGATTTGAAAGAGCAACTTTGTATTTTTACTTTGTTTTCAACATTAGATGAGCAAATACTTCAGACTAGTCTTCCGTGATATTATTTGCAACGAACGTTTTTAGTTGTAAAACCATAGCAATAATTTTTGCTATCGCATTTTATTTTCTGTGCGGTGATAATTCTTTTGTAAAGCGCTGTTTTGATGAGGGAGAACTCTTCTGTGTATCCTCTGACTATATTGTAAAAAGGACTGCTTTCAAATGTCAGAATATGGACTGCAAACCTCAAGAAGAACTCAATACAATGGCGCAGGGTTGAACAATGACCGCATAACCAGGAGAAAACGAACACTAGATGACACCGAATCGAATCAAATTCAAGACTTTAATGGCGCAAAAACCGCAGAGACAGAACCGCCTGGTTCGAAAGACGAAGAAGATAAGTACTATCGATATTTGTTACGGAAAAGCTCGTCAAATCGTCGCTCGCAAACCGAGGACTCGCTTGCTACACAGAACGGAAATCTAGCGTTGCGGGACGAAAGGGCTTCTTCGTTCGGTCGAGCAACTAATTTCAAAATAGACCATTTCTCAACAAACGGATAAGCAGACAAGTCGGGATTCGTCCGCCTATCGTGGAAATGTGTACAGAAGTAATTTAACCGGGCAACCATTTGTCAACAATGACAGAAAATCGAATTCCCCCTCGCCTACCAATCACGATATTCAAGGTAATAGACCCGATCGCAGACCTCGAGTGAAAGATCTACGAAGCTTGTTTGATTCAGGCAAAGCTGAACAAAATGGTGAAAATAGCAAAAGCAAAGAGATCGGTAGCCATGTTAAAACTTCTGGCTACAGAGCCAATACCGATCAGGCCTTATCAAGGGGTTTAGCTAATGTAAACAAGGAGACTGTCAAAACAAATGATACACAAGCGAAGAAAAGTGGCCAAACAAGCAGACAGGCTTATATTGACACTACGTCTAATGGTGATATTGACAATGATGCATGGGCTGACGATATTGTACCTTTGGAAAGGGCAAGGGTGTTTTCTGACCCTGGGGGAAAATTATCCAGGGGACAGGCATCCAAACAAAATGGCCAAGCTTTTAAGGGAATCAAATTATCTCAGGAGGAAGCGAAAGGCGCTTGGAGGCTCAGCCTTTCTGCGGGCCGACATACCAAGGAAACTTCAAGCGAAGAAGAAGAATCTGACTCATCTGAAGGCTTGGATGAGGAACAAGATCCGAATGATTCCCGGCAGCGTATTAGCGACAAGAAAGTTATTCAGATGTTGCAAAAACGTCATCCGACAGGAGAACTTAAGAAAATGTTCGACGGACCTGAAGCGTTCAATGCTACAACCAAGCGACAGTCGTTTCACGAGTCCTACAATAATCTGCTGGACGACAGAGAGAGTGAAAGGTCCACGTTGCCAAGAGGAACCACCAATGAAAATGATCTGGAAGAATCACCAAGAGTTGACGCAAGTCCTTTGCAAGATCAGGTGCATGAAGACCTATCTCAGAAATACCTTGACAATAAACCAACCAAGGATAATAATTTTGCACCAATAGGTGATATTAATGTGTCCCAATTCATTGCAAGCCCACCGCCCGAGAGGCCTGTCCGAGACAATATTATCGAAGCCCAACAAGCAAATGTTACTGAAAGTGCCCAATTGGATACGAGCAACACGCAAGCTGATAGCTACAAATCAATGTATCATGATTTTCTTAAAAAAGAAGGGGTTGCCCCTGCAGTTACCCCATCCCCTACAAAAACCACCTATCGCTACACCAGGGAGACATATCGGCCTCCACTCTACTCAGAAGACAGTGAAGCAGACAGCGAAATACTTGGTGACGGTAAAAGTGAAGAGGTCGTTAACAACTCATTAACTCCAGAACAGGTTGTTAAGAATAACGAGCAATTATTAGAGTCTCATGAGCCATTAGATAAAGAAGAATCAATTCCAAGAAATGATAGTATTGATGACTTGATGCCGAAGGAGTACGATGATGAAATGCACGAAGAAGATCTAGTTCACGAGTCCTCTTACGACGAAAGTGATGACATTGGCGGTGGAACATCTCCTGAATTAAAATCAAACTTTCAATTCAATTACATTCTTAAACATTATGACGACCTTGACGTTGCCAAGGACAATACTGATGGAAAAACGAAGGGCAAAAAACGTGGGGTCAGGTTTACAAACTCGCCCCATAGTGTTCATGAGACCTACCATCCATTGGACTACGAGAGGGGAAATGATGATATCGATCCTGTTAGCTCGTCAGCCGAATGGGAACTTGAAAAACGAGTTGATAAAATGGATGTGTTCTCGGTTGATCTTGATAAAGGAGGTGAGTGTTGACGTTGAAATACTTTGAAGATAAACATATAAATGAAGCTTAGTATTTTGTAAAATTTTCTGAAGTACAGGAATAACCCCCAGAAGGTAAAGTATGTTTGTGATACTTATATCGCATGATATTTCACAGGGATGGATCCAGCATGATCTGGTAGGGGGTGCTCTGCCCGCTCTGGTGCCGAGTTGTGTCAGTCGTGTGCCGCCCGCCCATCAACTTGCTTCACTACTGCAAAGTCTTGCTTGACTACTGTATTTGAATTGTAATTGTTGTTCACAGTTCGCTTATCATCATGTTATTAATCCAATTACTGTATCTCATTTTGTCTCTAATAATTTTTTGCTTTATCATGAAAAATAGCAACCCCCCCCCCTGCACCCCAGTAAATCCATCCCTGATATTTCATAAATCAAAGTAGCACACCCTTCCAGTTGGTACTTGCCCCCCACCCTTCCAGTTGGTGTCCTCCCACTCCACCCCCAAAGTATGTAGCTCACCCACTTTGTACATGTATCACTCATCAATTTTAGCCTACAAATGGGTGTTTGGAAAAAACTTTCTGACCACCCCTAAACTGCTGGTTAGGTCAATGTAGTAGTTTACCTGTAACTTATCAAGATGCATAATGTGCCCTACTTTATTTCTTTACTCTGTCTAATGCCAGGTGATTTTACTTGTCAAGGGGAAAGCACTGGCACTCATTGGATTAACCAGACTATCTGCCCATGTGTTCCTATAATGCACCATACTTTATTATTTTACTCTGTGTAACACCAGATGCTTTAAAAAAGTGACGGCTCTGGCACACAATGGGTAAAGTGGTTAGTTACCACAGAATCATTCTCAGGAAAAGTTCAATGAAAATGAAACTAATGTTGTGATTCCCCTGAAAGTTGTATGAATAGTATCCTACATAGTATTGTATGCCTTTACGGGTTCGTATCTATACATGTATGTGAATGTAATGGGGCTGTTACAGTGCTTTCGGAATTCTGTGGTTCCAATGATCAGTGTTTGGTCTGAAGTCTTGATTGCTTTTCATATTGTTCTGTAACTTGCAGATCAGCGTGGACTTGGCTTAAGTATTGTTGGCCTTGGTGTTGGTACAGATTCGGGTGTTGAGAAACTGGGAATTTTTGTAAAGTCTCTTACATCAGGTGGAGCTGCTGAAGCGGATGGAAGGTATGTTTTGTGGATCTTCGTGTTACAGCCAGAATGACTACAGTACGCTTTAATTTTGCCAGCTGTCTTGGCAAACATTGACACAGCACCACCTATACATGTTAAATGCCATTGTAGGATTCAAGTGAATGATCAGATTTTGGAAGTGGATGGGATTTCACTGGTTGGAGTGTCGCAATTGTTTGCCGCTCAGACCTTGAAAAACACTAAGGGAACTGTAACGTAAGTGTAACAATTAACCATTAAGTTGCATTAATAATAAAATAAAATAATTAGTATATTATGTTATTATAATCTAATTGATATTATAATAATATTTTATAATATGGTAATATTATAATAATATAATATAAAAAATATATGGGTTCAACTCAATGGGCTAAGGGACTGCTCATTATTTATTGTTCAGGGGGGGATTGAGGAGAAACTGGGGGGCTTCGAAAATATTTACCAGTTTGAAAAAACATTAGTATTGCTGCCGAGCGTAGCTCGGCAGCACACTAATCTCTACACGTGGTGTGCTTACCACGTGACCGCCGAGTTTATAGCCGCTACAATCTCGATTTATGTCATTCTGTCATCCACGGACGGGCCAAAACTAGCTGTTTTGATATTATTTTTTTGTTCCCGGGGGGGTTTGTTCACAACATGGCGACTGTTATAAACGGACAGAAATATAAAAATCATAAAATAATGCGAATTTCCATAAAAATTCCGAGTAATATTTGTGAAGATGAATGGGTAAATAAAGCACGGTGTTATTTTGTGTCTCTGGCGCAAGAATGATCGACAATATTTTGAATAATTCAGGTAAGGATGGCTTTATTTCGTTCTCGTATAGTGATGTAGTCGTGCCGTGTGCCCTGTCTACCTGTCTGGTGATATATTTTATAATACATGAAGGCATTTATATTTAAATCTGCTGTTTATACTTGTTTAGTCACTTTAGAGTATTGAACTTCGATATAGAGGCATTGAAACAAAATGATTTCAAGAATATATCGGCAATTATAATACCCACTGAATCACTGATCTATTCCCGACCAAATCGACAGTAATGATTAATGCCTTTATGCTGATACAAGAAGCAAATGAACTTTTAGTTTATTTGTTTGTTATGTCACTTAATATGTGCAAAGCCAAAGGCGGTGAGTATATAATAGTGTTCGGTACGTTCTATTTCTAAATGTTTATAGTTTAAAAACAAACGCGGGATGTTGTTAAATCAGGCTTAACAAGATTCCTAGAGCTACCCAGTGTGGATTGTTGTCTGCATATATGGACTTATCAGCAATTACATGTAATATAGCATATCAACTGACTTTTGTATAAGATATGACTTGTATAAGGCCTCAGTTATATATAAAGCCTATAAACATGATTCTACTGACATACATTGATATATACATATGGCTGTGTTACCACAATAATGCTCACAACTTCAACTTCTTTCTAACAATATAGTTTTGCAGTTCTGACTGTTCTGAGTATGATCTTATTCATTCAGAAATATAAGCATTGCACTGTATTCAATGGCAAGCTATCCTGGATTCCAGAGCCTTCAGTTAATAATAAATTGAAATATCGTGAAGGCTCTGGTTCAACGGGAGGATTCTTTGATTAAACTGTGCCAATCACAAAACAGAATTAGCAGTTTTAGTACAGATTTTGGGCGTGTTAACCCATTAAGCGCCAGCGCTCTCCCCTTGACGAGTAAAATTGTCTGGCGTTAGACAGAGTAAAATACTCTGGCGTTAGACAGAGTAAAATACTCTGGCGTTAGACAGAGTAAAATACTAAAGTAGGGTGCATCAGGGTGCAATGCGACCCAATGGGTTAACTAGACACATGGGCAGATAGATCAGTTAACCCATTAAGCGCCAGCACTCTCCCCTTGACAAGTAAAATCGTCTGGCGTTAGACAGAGTAAAATACTGTTCAAAGTAGGGTGCAATGCGACCCAATGGGTTAACTAGACACATGGGCAGATAGATCAGTTAACCCATTAAGCGCCAGCACTCACCCCTTGACGAGTAAAATCGTCTGGCGTTAGACAGAGTAAAATACTGTTCAAAGTAGGGTGCATCAGGGTGCAATGCGACTCAATGGGTTAATATAGTACATAACATAGGTCATAGACATACAGTTTCAATACAATACAAAATGATTTTGAACAATGTCAAGGTCAATGAAATCATACAAAATGAATTTATGGAATATCAATTAAATGTATTTAAAACAAACATAATTTCAACATCCCAATAAGCAATAACATCCCAGTAAGTATAAATTCAACTATTTTAAATCAATTGTTTGAATAGCCAAATTAAAAGTTGTACGAGTGACAAAATCATTCAATAATATTCACATTTTATCATTTATATTATGTGTCAACTATCAAAGTCGCACTGTTAAGTATATTAAAATATACTTTTCATAAGATTAGATGTAAGATATAATTGTACGAAGGTAACTGAGGAACGACGATGTGTAAGACAATAAATCATACATACAGTGAAAAACGCTCTTTTTGTAGCACATCCTACATGTACATATCGGCAGCATTTTCCTTGCGATAGTAACTCCTAGTTTTAAAAATGTATCACAAAACAACTTAACAAATAACAATGTTTATAGACCTTCAATATTCATAAAAGGAAACCGAATAAAAAGTCTCTTATGTTCATGTAAATAGACAATCCCCATTATAGACTAATTTTAGAACTAGGCAAAGAGATGCAAATCAAGGCCGGATTTTGGTGAAAACAGGCCAATATCAACGAGGTGAGGTATGCCTGTAGTGTACATATGTACCAGTGTATTAATGAATTATGAATGTATATGACTCCAATCTTGCCCTTCATTACAATTGCTACAAAGTTTCTTTCAAAACATTGCATTAAAAGGGTACTTGACACAGAGATGAATGGCTATCACTGTTTCAATTTTACAGAGAAAACTTTCTTACGTCACGAAGTGTAGATCCTAAGCAACCATCACATTTTCACTTTGTTCCATCATTGAAACTTTCCCAAGGGGAGGTGCATGACCTTTCAGGAGAGGTGGAAAAATTCTCGGGGGAGGTGCAAAACGATCTCAGGGTAGGTGCGCACCTCTCCACACCTCCCCTCAAAATCTGGCCTTGATGCAAATAAATCACCACAGTTAGAAAGAGCATACTAAAATAAGTAAATTATTGCAAAGTTTTGTTGCAAAATGTTGTAAAATAGGGAAAATGTAGCCTTGCAAAGTTTGCAAATTTTGTATACTTTTGTATTGCATGCGAAAATTGTTATAATTGTCTATTGGTCCCCATTATCTATTTTTGTTTCTCTAAATAAAGAGCTAGAGTTTTTGTTTCTCTAAATAAAGATAAAGAGCTAGAGGGGGGACCAAAATTTATGTTCTTGTTTTGCCTGTTGGGGGGGGGGCTTTGAAAATTTTACTTGTCTTAAGAGGGGGGCAACGAAAAAATATTATAACTGTAGAGTTTCTCCTCAGTCTCCCCCTGTACAATAAATAATGAGCAGTCCCTAAACAAACATTTTTTGTCGTTCAAGGTTCTTAATGGGAAGAGAGAAGGGTCGACATGTTAGCAAGGTAAGTTTTACAATGTTACCGGACATGTTGGTGGAATTTTTTAGCATAAATTTAATGTATACTGTACATTTTGGTGCTCTGCACCGGAATTGCATTGCTGCTGGTTGGATTCATGTTTAGTTCCAAAAGAAACCTAACTCCTATCGAACGGGATGTCCAAAAATGTTGATACTTTCAGTGGGAGAGCAGTTTATGAGTGTTAAGGGTTATCCAGTATGGGTACATTAGTTTATTTTAGCCTGGGAATTTGTTTTATTCTAATTCTACTAATTACTAAATGTACTGCAGGTTGACGCTGACAAGTACGTGACAAAATGCGAGGAACTGGAAGATGAATTGAATCAGGTGAGATGGGAATTTGAGAAATGGACTGGTTTTGGTAATCAGTGGGTTATTAATTGTCTTAATTTCTCCCCTCAGGCTAAGCAACGAATTCGTGAGCTTGAAGCAGAAAAGGTTGTGGAAAAGGTAAACAGTGGCATCAGTTGGAATTTGTTGACATTATATTAAAGTAACAAAAATAGACTGTGAGCTGTCCCTCCTTTCCGCGGGTTTAGATTTCTGGGAATAGGAAAGGAGGGACTGCCGACAACGCATCAAAGAAATGAAATATGCGCTGCCCACACAACGCAAGATTCCCATTGGTCAAAATTGATATGCCTGTTAATCAAATCTGATACGTAGTAATTATGCTATAAATAATTCCAGAACTGAATGTTGATTTTATAAGTAAACATAACATTAATGGTTCCTATTGGATAGATTTAAACAAATATAAGTAATGTTTATACAAAGGTGGAGCCAACTTGACAACAGCGAAAAGTGGGCGTATTTCGTTTATTGATGTGTTGTCGGCGGTCCCTCCTTTCTACTGAGGGACTGCTCGTGGTCTATAACAAAAACAATAGAAAGGACTGGAAGTGAAGTCCAATAACTCTTCAATGTCAGCCATTTTGGCGTCACTTTTTGGATGCGAGTTTTTGGTCCAGATATATGTGGAGGTCTTGGCCTCATTCTGATTCTAAAATTCTAATTCAATTTCAATCACAAAAACAAAGCCAAGATGGTTTATTAGGATGCACATAAAAGAGTATTAAAATTTGTCTGTATTATGAAAGTGGTCTATATATTAACTGCTAAGGGGCGGACCATTAGAAAAGTGATGGGGGGGGGGGAAACAAAAATAAAATTCGAGCAGGGAAAATAGAAAGAAAAAAAAATTCGTGCACCAGAAATGTCTGAAAAAAAAATTCGTGCAGAGACTTTTCATTAGGGAAAATTACAGGACCTATCGGAGGTACAGTGTAAAGGTGTTCCCTGAAATTTCGAAAATAAGCTTTTTCATTGTGTTTTAAGAAGTTTTTTTGGGGAAAATGTGTTTTAAACCTAATTGAATTGATCTTAGTCCGAAAAAATTTTTTTTGACTCTATTTCTCTTTGTCCTGCAAAAATTTTTCGAGCAAGGGATTATTTAAAAAAAAAAATAACCGACACAGCAAAACATTTTGAAAAAAAAAATCGTGCACGTTGAAAATGGACCCCCTCACTTTTCTAATGGTCCGCCCCTAAGGCCCATTTCCACTCAAGAAAAATTTCCAGACAGAAAATTTTCAAAAATATCATTGTAAAAGTCGAAAATTTTCAACTTCAAAATTTTTTTCCGACGTAAAATTTGTGTTGGCCAAACACATTTTACAAAATTTTCTTTCTGCGGAAAATTTTCCCGAGTGGAAATTTTAGTTTGTTGCAGATTGAAACAGATTCAAATGTTCAACTACCTTGTATTTTTCAGGTAGTTGAATCCCTACCCAGTACCCACACTGGCACAGACTCGAATTTATGTTAGTTTGTTGGCTTTCAGGTGACAGCCACAGGAGAAGACTCAGATGAAAGCAATACAGACGGTCTAAAACAACGGTTGCGGTCGCTTGAAGAGAAACTATCCAGACAGAAGAAAGTCTTGGCGTTGCTGAACGCGAGCATAACGATCTTCAGAAACAGTTGGATGAAAGTAAAAAATTATACTCTATGGTGCAGAGGAAAAATACCTTACTCAAAGAACAATTGAAAGCTAGGAGTATCCCAAGGTATGTATGACTTGGTAAAAGAGATGTAGAGCCCAGGGCTGCAAAAAAATGTTTTATTTTCTGGGACCGACAAGCCAACGAAAATATTTTCTACAAGCAAAGGACAGCAAATCTTACGTGAAGCTTAAATTAAACTCTCTATTTTCACGTAAAAGACGTGATACAACATTTGCATTTCAATATACGAGGTTAACTTTAGCTTAAACTTCATAAACTTGTATTCTTTTTCAGAGACAACAACGGTTTTTCATCAGGCGATGAACCAACGGTTCAACAACTGCAAGCAAGGGTATTACTTTCAATTTTTGAATGATATATTCGATAATAAATTGTTTCTGTGAAAGTCACCGTTCTCAACAATACTTTACTGTATACTTCTTTCCTTTTATGATATTTTGATGGGTATGCGTTTTCTAGATACGCGAACTGGAAGCCGCCCTTCGTGCGAATGGTCAAAATGACGTCAGTAGAGCACGTAGTCAAGGCAACAATGACGACAGCAGTATATTTGATCAGTATATTCAACCAACACGAGGTGGACTGGAGGCCAGTCAAAGTTTCAGTCAAGAGAGCGAGAGTGATCTTGATGATATAGTGAAGGCAGTACCAGGTAGGCAAGAAGTCCATCTTGCCCCAATAACCTCGTTTCCATGTGGTTATAATAGGGTCAAGGATAGGTTTGTGATCGGACTCAAGATCAAATAAACATGCCTGTATATTTAGTTTTTTGCAGGTAGCAAAAAAAAAAAGTAGCGAAAACTCTGTTTTCAAATGCCAAAACGCCCTTTTCAAATGCCAAAACGCCCTTTTCAAATGCCAGAACTCCGTTTTCAAAAGCAGAACTCCGTTTTCAAAAGCCAAAACTTAGTTTTCAAATGCCAGAACTCCGTTTTCAAATGCCAGAACTCCGTTTTCAAATGCCAAAACTCCGTTTTCAAATGCCAGAGCTCCGTTTTCAAAAGCTAAAACTTAGTTTTCAAATGCCAGAACTCCGTTTTCAAATGCCAGAACTCAGTTTTCAAATGCCAGAACTCCGTTTTCAAATGCCAAAACTCCGTTTTCAAATGCCAGAGTTTTCAAATGCCAGAACTCCGTTTTCAAATGCCAAATCCGTTTTCAAATGCCAAAACTCCGTTTTCAAATGCCAGAGCTCCGTTTTCAAAAGCTAAAACTTAGTTTTCAAATGCCAGAACTCCGTTTTCAAATGCCAGAACTCAGTTTTCAAATGCCAGAACTCCGTTTTCAAATGCCAAAACTCGCTTCTCAAATGCCAGAAAAATACAAGGAGAACTTCGACGTTTCGAGCGAAGGCCCTTCGTCCAGAAGGTCCACTAACTTCCCGATGAAGGTCCCTCGCTCGAAATGTCGAAGTTTTAGTTGTATTTTTCAGGTAGTTGTATCCCTATCAATGTGCAGCTTTCTCATTGTATTTTTTTGTGCTGTGTTCACCAGCAGGTACAGGCAGTGACATGAGTGACGTGCCAGAAACAGCCGTTCTTGATCACACCATGCAGCAAGACAAGATCCATGCTGGTCAGGCTGCTGACGTCAAGAGACGTAGGCCATCACGTGAGCATATACATCGTCTGAGCAGAGACCTGGATCCCGACCAACAAGCAGAGGTTTGTCCACTATGTTTTTTGTGCGACCAGTTTCTATGAACTACTGTAACTAACTAACTTTACTTATACTGGATAGCTCTATCAGTTCTGAACTGTTCTTCCTAGAGGTCCAGTGAGGATCATCCCTTACTGATCCAGTGTTACTACAGGAGGAAACCTAAACTAAACTAATTTTATTTATACTGGATAGCTCTATCAGTTCTGAACTGTTCTTCCTAGAGGTCCAGTAAGGATCATCTCTTATTGATCCAGTGTTACTACAGGAGGAAACCTAAACTAAACTAATTTTATTTATACTGGATAGCTCTATCAGTTCTGAACTGTTCTTCCTAGAGGTCCAGTAAGGATCGTCATCTTTATTAATCCAGTGTTTAATACTGCAGAAGGGAACCAAAACTAAACTATTCTATTCTAACAGTCTTAATCTGTTATTTGCTCAGATAATGAACAAGTCAGTGGAAGATTTAGTCGAGAAAGTCCGCGAGTACGCAGAGGATCCTTCCCTGGACGAGAAACCAAGACGACCGCTGACTGGTTATTACGCAGATTCGAAAGATCTCGAGGCCTCCTCACGCGTGCGACCGCTGCACGTGCCGGTGAATGATCGTGGACGTTTAGTGAAAGAACCTTTGGAACAACGTAACAGTTTACCTCGAACGAGGAAGGCACGTGGTGGTCAGGACGCTTTGGCTGAGAAATCGAAATCAATGGAGGATCTGAGTAGCGGCTCATCACACGAAGTTCTCGATGAGGTACAATACATATTCTGAAACGACATGTGTAGAATAGAATTCCATGTCCAAAATAATCCAAAACTTAATCATAACGGCATAACCGTGTTATTTCTTTGTCTCGCAGCTAAAAATTCCCGCTAAACCAAGACGCGAACGAATTTCTCCCGTGAATTCTGATGAAAAATCATCGAAAGGTCAAGGTATATAGACTGTCAAAGATTTGTATTTTGTATAGTATGTACTGTACCCAGAGTTCACTGACTGTATAAGCTTGATACGCATCTACACCAAATCTGAGTATAATTGATTTGAGTATAAACTTGATATGCAACTACACCAAATCTAATATATAATTGTTCTCTGACATATGTCTATATAGCCTCGTTAGCTGTCTCGCCCAGCAGCTCGACAGGAGAAGGAATGAGTGATCATGGTTCACTTCAAGCAACCAGTTCCGGATCTATTCCTGACGACAGTAAACCTGTCATGGCGGAATGGAAGAATAGACCCTTGCCTAGTGGGATACGCATCAGGTTCGTACTGGGGTACTGCTCAAATGAACAACTTATTATTGTTCTTGTCGGACTTTTCCTAGGTCCATTCTCACATGGAAGATTGTGTTTACTTGATCAGCTGGGGGTGTGGGGTGGCTGTTACCCCTCAGGGCATGGTGGATCCCAGGGATGAAGACCCAGAAGCTTTAAGATTTTCGCCTCTTTAGAACAGCACAAAATTGCTTTGATTTTTTGCTCTGAAACGAATTGTAGGCAGTATGTTTAAGAAAACATGTTCGGTTTAAATTTTTTAAAAAATTTTTTCGAATTAAAAATTTATTTTCATGTCACAATTTTATCTCAAACATCTTCATTTTAATTGTACTGAAACTAATTGAGTTTCAAAACTCAAGATCTGGGGCTGTTAAAAAGCTCTGAAAAACCCGCACTTGTAAGAAAGTTTGTGCTAACGTTTTAGCAATTTGATTAAATACCGCATTGTTACAATATAACGTATTCAAACCTTTCTTGCAAACACATGCATGTTCTTCACAAGGTGTGAGCTTTTTGCACGAGTGTGTTCAAGCTTGTAACGTGTAGTTTTTCAACAGGTGAATTGTTGGTTGATGTCCATTGAGATGGAGGAATATTCTGATATATTCGCCAAAAATAATATCGATGGCAATGAATTGTTGACTATGGATAGCGCAAGGATAAAGGTGGGTAATGCAGGGCAGGAAAAAAGAATTTTCTTCCTGGGAGCACACAACCTGGAGACAAAAATTTCCTTCAGACTAACGGAATATTTTTGTGCTAAATTTCCATGTGCATAAACATATAGTGTTCTAGCTGACCATGGTTTTAAATTCAAGGAATAATGTCTGTCAACCATATGTTGTTGCGCCCATAGTGGGACATGGGTGTTAAGGTTTCCTTCAAATTTTCAATAACAAATCTTCATTCAAACAAATTTCCTACAGCTGTTTAACATTTCCTGTTAGCAGTGCTCGCCTATTTTTTATGGCCTAATGTACGCGTATTTAGATCGCATGTAAGAAAAGTGTTTTTGAAAACAACATGATTTCTCCAGGTAAAACGGTGTCCTGGATTTCGTGGCATTTACGTCTAGGGAGAACATTTCGTCTAGGAAGAAAAGAACAGTTGAGAACTGATGTACAGTATATAAATAAAGTTAGCTTAGTGTAAGGTTTCATATCGTAGTAGAACTATTTAAGAACTGATATAGAGGTATCAAGTATGAATAAAGTTCGAATATAAGCATTTCAATGTAAATGTGAGCAATTTCTTAGAATAATTCACCTCATTCCAGGCTATTGGTGTCCAACCGAAGCATCAAAAAGTATTGAAAAAGAAATTAAAAGAACTCAGAAGTGAAATGGAGAAGCAAGAAAAACAGAGACTAAAGAATAGAAAGGGATCAAAGAAAGGAAAGAAAGTTCCATTTTGGAAAGGGAAGTATGATGTCTCTGCTCAGCAGTGAGTCGACATAGGGTAGCTTGATACTATATAAATTCTATTTCGGTTTAACGTATAGCTTTAGTTGAGACCCAGATAAATGAATAAATTTAAAAATTTTTAAGTGATCCTTGAAAATTAAGACCACCACACTAAAATCTCGGATCTTATTGACAACATGTGTTGGCAGCAGACTTGTGACAAGGTTGTTTTACAAGTAGTAACAATCCATCCTCGTCCCCAGGGCCAAGCTCGGGCGACCTTCACAGTGAGACGAGGATGGTAACAATCCTGTTTGTCGTGTTGCAACAATGTTTATCACAAGCTGTTCATCACAAACAACTTGTTAACAAGTTGTTGAATGGACCTTTAACCTTATAACTAAAATTTTGATCTAGACAAAAGTTCCATCACAGCTTGAAAGAGCATCACAAAATTAGTAATATTCCAAAGTTTCGTTACGAAATGTTGTAAAATGCGGATAATATTTTGTATTACAAACGGGAAATTGATACCCAAATCGGGTGTTTGGGTATCAATTTCCCGTTTGTAATCTAAAATGACTAAAAATTGCAAACTTCGCAAGGCTATATTATCCGCATTTTACAACATTTCGCAACGAAACTTCGGAATATTACTAATTTTGTGATGCTCTTTCAATCTGTGATAGACTTGTCTAGATCAAAATTTTAGTTATAAGGTTAAAGGTCCATTGAGGATTCCCCTTACTACGTTACGAAAACGTAATAAGGGGAATCTAGTATTGCACGAGGGCGATAATAAGTTGTTGAAACAGCCTTGCCCGGACACAATTCGATACTTCTTAGACGACGTTATAGCAAGTCTGCTGCAAACACTGCTCACACAGCAAGTCTGCTGCAAGCAAATTACCCATACAAAACGTATACCAAGTTTTAATATATACTGGCAATTTCAGTTTTACCTGTAATTTATACGAGGATATGGTCAAGTATATTTTATATCCGATTTCGCGTAAAATTAATGGAATGAATTTTAAATAAATGTTGGCAATTTTATGTAAAGGAATTTAGTGTAGAAAGGAATTGTACTGTATAATGTACACAGTGTAATAAATGTATAAAAACACACACGCGTGCGTTTTATGTAGCGTTAGTTTTGCGATAAAAAAAATACTAAAAAATTATATGCATGCCATTGAATGGGAAAATTCACCAATAAGACAACTCGTGAGTTCTAGGACTGAAATATAATCCTCAGCCTTAAAAAAAAGTCGATAATAATCTGGTTTTCAAAAATTCAAATCTCCACACAAAGAACGAGGTAATGAATGGTCATATTTTGAATTCAACCAATTAACAAATTCATCATCAGGCCACTTAGACTTGAATTGAATAACAACAATCTTACATTTTACTGTACAACACGCCATTTTTTTTATTGTTATATATCACAATGACTAGTTAATACCACTATACTACAGATATATGTCTTTGACATGTACAAGTTTGTACAGCATGTTCCACAATTTTTCATTTATTTTGTACATCATCATAATACACTCGTTAATCAATGAATGTCCATTCGTGCTCTTTGCCATGCCCCAGGAGTAGGTCTGTCAGGAGCCTATGGAACGAAAACAAACGTTATTGGGATGGAGACCATTTGCCGTACATGCACCGAGTTGACTCTTTGAGGAAAATTATGCTTTCAACTCTTTTATAAGCTACCTGTTGTCATTCGTACGTAAAGTTGTTTAAGAGGAGATTTTTTTGTATGTTACGTAACACGCGCTCAAAACTAATGCGTATATAATAATGCTTGAGGTTATGAGGTTATTTTTCAATACGTTTCTCAATCGGCAAACAAACTTAAAAAGTATGTTTAGTGCTTTATCTGTAAAATAATACTAAATTGAAGAGATTTTAGATGGTACGCCAAAGAGAAAATGATGTCTGAAGTTCAGTAAGTTTTGCTTATATGGCTGTAAATATGGCGTTAATTTTAAAGCATCATTGATCATTGTATTTTAATTGACAATTTTTAACTATTATGTTATGTTTCTCAACCGGCAGATGCATTTAAAAAGGTTGCTGACTCTATAAACTAAAGAATAAAGCTAAAACAAAGTAATTTTGAGAGGAACGCCAAAAAGATTTTAGATTTTGAACTCTTTTCATTGCAATTACGTGACATTGAAAAAAATTGCCTCTTAATAATTTATGAGTAAATTAGCTAACCATATTGCTTAATTTTGCTCACATGATAATACTGGATACCCGGTGAAGTATACTGATCCACTAGTCCTAGCACTGGATCAAAATTAATTCAGTCCTTAGACTGTATCAAAATTAATTCACCTCGCTTCATATCAAATGTCATTTCAAATCCTCCAATTCGGACTGCATGACTCGAATTTAAGTCCTCGCATTTTGATCCAGTCCTCTGCTTCGCCTCGGACGTGATCAAATGGACCATTTGCATTATAGACTAAATTTTGATTTAGACAAAAATTTCATCACAGCTTGAAAGAGCATCACAAAATTAGTAATATTCCAAAGTTTCGTTGCGAAATGTTGTAAAATGCGGATAATATAGCCATGCGAAGTTTGCCGTTTTTCAGTCATTTTGTATTACGCACGGGAAATTGGCCCCAATTGGGCTCAATTTCCCGTGTAATACAAAATGACTGAAAAACGGCAAACTTCGCAAGGCTATATTATCCGTATTTTACAACATTTCGCAACGAAACTTTGGAATATTACTAATTTTGTGATACTCTTTCAAGCTGTGATGAAATTTTTGTCTAGATCAAAATTTAGTCTATAATGCAAATGGTCCATTGCGCGTACTTGAAATCTAGTCCAGTCCTCATAGTCGGATTTGAAATATGACGTCATAACTACCTTAAGCCGTAGACAAATATAACAAAAGCGATGGAAATCGCGATAATTGAATCCAAAAACCACACTTGATCATTTTGACGTTGGGCGAAAGTGCTTGCTAACAGACCCAGAGCCATGAACGCCGTGGTCGCTGAATTAAACGCTGAAACAAGTAAACCAGAATGAAAACATGAAAACGAGTCTATACTCAAAAATTGGAATCCAGTCTAGGTAGTATTCTAGAGTAAGCTGCCATGGTTGGTGTCTGGACTACCTTCCTTCCTTCCTTCCTTCCTTCCTTCCTTCCTTCCTTCCTTCCTTCCTTCCTTCCTTCCTTCCTTCCTTCCTTCCTATGAAAGGAATGTCTGTCGAGAGGTTTTTCCATCTTCTAAGGTGTAGTTTAGACACAAACCACAGCAGTATATCTCCTCAAAATACCGGCCCTACCAGGACGCCACTATTACAGGGTAGCCATGTCAGAGTTATCAAAATAATAAGCCCCCTTAAAAATTTAAACAATTCTAGTTTAAATGCATACCGTCAGTTTTCATTGACAAACTGTGAATGGCATTACCAATGACAAATTTGAACCAAGAGATGATAGCAAAACCAACACAACTTATGCAGGCAATAACAAGAAGTCCTGGTGTCTAAAATATGAGGGAAGTGATAGCATACGTTCCCTTAGCATGATACTGTGGTGTTTACACCTACACGCGGAACTTATTCAAAGTTGTTTTGTGACGATTAACAAACCTTTTCCGGCATCTCTTGTTGAAGCAGAAGGTAGACCGTACGTGAGAATATCCCAAAAGATGAAACAATAAAACATACACCAATTCCAATACATGCTCTACAAAAGATAATGAAAATATATTTAGTGTGGCATTGAGGCATTCCTGGGTATATTTTGCAAACGGTTTTGTTCACAGTGCATGTAGTGAGTAAAATTCACGGAATCATTTACTTCTTCTAAACAGTATCCACAAATAAGATGGACGTCGTTTCAACTTACTGTTTTTCTCTGTCCCAAGAATATTCCAAACCAGCTGTGCCATAAAATCTCCAAAACACAATCGCTGAGGTCGCGGTGTCCAATAGTGAGTCAAACTAAGTGGGAATATAAATAACGTTTTGTTATAGGGAGTGCATGGGTGCGTTGGTTAAGCAGTCGCATGGTTTAAGCCTTTACATTTCAACTCTGTGACCGGTGTTTCAATTCCTGCATATACAGTTGTTTGATTATAAGTTCACTACAGTCGCAGAGTAGAAGCAAGGTGCTTACATACACATGCACGTAAACACGCACAAGTTGTTACAAATCTGATCACAAGCTGTCGACAAGTTGTGTTCGCACTGCTTGTTCCCAGTTGTTGTAACATGTTTGGAACAAGCTGTTAACAACTTGTAACAAGTTTGATCACATTATCAGACTTGTTACAAGGTTGTTCTAAAACGTGTGATACAGTCACATAACAAGAATGTTATAAGGTTGACGACACAAGGTTGTAAACACTATTGTTATATCATGACTGTATCGGACTTGTTGGAACAAGTCTGATAGTATCAACAAGGCTGTTATACGTTGTTAACAGATTGTTCTAAATTTGTCGACAACTTGGGACAAGTAGTGCGAACACAACTTGTTGCCAGACACAATGTGTACTATATACACACGTAAAAATCTTGTAGCAAGTCCGACAAGTCCAACAACAAGCTGTGTTTGTCCCAAGTTGTCAACAAGTTTGGAACAAGCTGTTAACAACTTGTAACAGTCTTGTTGATATTATCAGACTTGTTACAAGATTGTTCTAACAAGTCCGATACAGTCATGATATAACAATATTGTTACAACCTTGTGTCGTCAACCTTGTAACATTCTTGTCACATCATGACTGTATCAGACTTGTCAGAACAACCTTGTAACAAGTCTGATAATATGAACAAGGTTGTTACAAGTTGTTAACAGCTTGTTCCAAACTTGTTACAACAACTGGGAACAAGCAGTGCGAACACAACTTGTCGATAGCTTGTGAACAGATTTGTAACAACTTATTTGCAGACCTGTAACAACTTGTGCGTTTTTATGTGTGTAGTGGAAGAGTAGAGGAGGCCTTCAATGCTGTCAGAACAGCTAAAAGTTGTGCTACGGGTGAAGTCTGACGCGCCATTATTGTTGGTTGAGAATAAAAACAAACGAGGCATGACCGCAACTGGTGAGGCAGCTGGTCGCAGATTGCCCGCGTCTCGCACGTTGATATATTGATATCCTGTACATTTGGGCTATAAATCTTACCGCAAATCCAAACGCAGTCTTGCTATTTCCAGAAAGGGATAGCACTAGAAACACAAAATACGAGGATACTAGGGTTGCGCGTGAGTTACCTCTAACTGGGATTTTATTCCTGCAGTATATGCAGTTCTGTGATTATTAACTCAATCGTAAACAACGTAGACATTGTAGGCATGGCCCTTCGTGGATCTGTAGGGAGGGAGCACAGTTTAGAACTGACAGGAGTTATGCAGTATACTTTTACTTTAGTCTTTAACTAACGGTCTTACCAAAAACCAGAATTCCAATGCCAACAGAGGTGAGCATTGAGACAAATAAAATCAACTGTGCACCAAGATGCCATTTGACTGCAATGCTTGATGGTGGATGATGATTACTTTCACCAAGAATGTCTAGAACATTGATAAAGGACTTTGACTCAATTACTTGGTTTACCTTTATTCCATTCTATGCTTATATTATCAGAACTGTGGTAACTAGACGAACTAAAGCATGTGAGTATCCGAAAGTATGAATTTGGTTGAAAGGGCACAGACAACCGTTAATAATACCCGAGGTCCATTCTTTGGCTTTCACTTTTCTCGGATTTATTACAGCCTATATAGCGTAACTTTTTACAAATCACTGATAAAAATCTTAGCACCAGCCGCTTTTCCAAAATCTCTGCATGCTGTTGAATTCAACACAATGGCAGTAATTGCTGCGTTTCAAAAATTCATTCAGAAATTTAGCCTTTTTTTAAGACAATATTTTCCTTTAATACAAGATGAACTTTTGGTTTTCACAAAAAGTGATACTGTCTGAAAGTTAATTTGCGTTAATTTACAGCACAAAATATCTTTACGAAAGCGTGATTTTTCGGCATACTTAGCTACTTACCGTCGTCCAAATGCGATACGCATGGCAGCCTATTGTATTCCTTGTACTGCGAATGGAAATCGATTTTTTGCAACGGTTCACTAGGACTTTCGGGAATCGTACAAAGTAAGCTCATTCTTCAGACAAAAGGCATTAAATTTTCTACAGGTTATTCATTATGCACGAGCTTCAAACGAAACCACGGTATTAATAACCAATTTTGTGGACAAGCTTGATTTGGAGTGACAAGCTGACGTAGGGCTGTGCTTTGGAAGAGAATTAACCTGTGTGGAGCGGCTCTCAAAGGCTTGAAGGGAATTTAAGTGAAAGGCTTGTTTTCCATCCCCTATCGAAGCCTGTTAATAGTGTCTTTTGGTAATAAAGGGCCTGCTGGAATATTTGTGAATCCTTTCATTATTGTAGCAGTCCTGAATTTGACAAATAAATTGACCGATACGAAAACTAGCTACCACAGGTTTGCATTATTTAATATTTTTTTTATTACCAGGCCTAATAAACAATATTTTCAACAGAGACTGTTTTTTAAAGCAATATGTGGGAGTTTACAATTCATGCAAGGGAAATTATAGGAATATAGCCCTTTTGAAATCTGTAAAAAGCATCGAAACGAGGTTAGTCAGGCTGCTTTGCTAAATCTAGCATAAACTGCGGTATTTTTAACATTTAATTTCTCAAAGAGAATACATATTCTTGAAGTCGGGTCAGTCTATAAGATGTCAGTGATTACATGGCTTTACATTGGTTGAAATTAATTTCGGAAGAAGAAAGAATGACAACTATTTTTCGAATCGGTCTATAGCTTTCATTTCCTTCCTCCTAGAAATGTTAATATTTCTGACGCCGACCAATATCTGCTCCCATTGATATAAAAAAATCCACAATGCATTGTGTTTCCACGATGGCGTCATTAAAGGTGAAAAGATCTATTATCCATACAGGACATCATAATTTCTTAACATAAAGTAATTAGAGAAGTACACTACAATTCACGGGCTCAATGTCCGAAGCAACATGGCTTCCAAAAAATTGCGGAATTTTTAAAATTTGTCCCTTTATTTTCTTGTGTTTTCTTCGTTATTTACGCTTTACATGTCCTATTTTTAATTTGATCTTGTGTGTCTGTATTCAATTGTTGAAATATGCCCAAGAAAAAGACGGGGGCTCGTAAGAAAGCCGAGAAACAACGCGAAAGGCAGAAGGGAATCAAAAATTCAAAACAAACGAGAAACATTGTTGAACTACCTTGTAACTTTCAAATGGTAGGTGTTTATCTCTCTGTTTTGTGGTCTACGAAGTGTTTTTGTTTATAGTGTACTTATTTTGCCGTGTTTTCTCTTTCCAGGAATGCGACAAGTGTCAAATGTAAGTGACTTACAAAGTGAACTGAAACTAATGAGTAATGACCAAGGGGCCACGTCCATATTCATGTTACCACGCAAAACGTCAAATTGACGTTTTGACTCACACAAAATGCAAACAAATCTTTTTGTTTTGTTATCAAGTCACCATCTTGGGAAACCAAAAAATACCCGCGCGGCGGATAAAAATTTCCACTGAAATATTTTTGGGGAATTTTTCACAATTTCAACGGTAAAGCACTTGGAAACAAATTTTGGCGGAAAGATAAGGGCGAGTATAAAATATAAGTGCAAAAAGTCCACAAAAACGTAAGTTCTAATAAACTTTTATGTTGCCACGGTGAAAATGTCACACCATTAAAAAATATACCTACCCACCCACCCAAAATGTCAATTTGACATTTTGTGTGGCAACATGAATATGGATGTGGCCCCCAACCGCACTGGAAAATTTGGAAATTACTCACTCGAGATTTCAAAAATTTAATAGTAAATTTCAGAAGATTTGTATCACATGAGCAGAATCTCGAATGAAATTATATAGATATATAAAAATCAGGGCTTGAAAAATAAGGTTTCCAAAATTCCCAATCATGGTGATTGGCAGTCATGACTTTTCTGAATAAAAATCCTGCTTTTCTGCCGATCTTAACCAATTCATGCTGATCATTGATCGGTGTTCGAACCCTGAAAATGTAAAATTTCCCTTGAAGTTTGCAGCTAATAATGATGAGATGACATTTTCTATCAGTCCAATAACAACAGTTAAATTTATAGTTGCTGGCTAGCACTAAAGCCTGTAGCAACTTTAAATGCAAATTACAAGTTGAGATATTCAAAAAAAAGTTTTCCAAAGTTTATTTAGTTTTTGTTATGCTGGTATGTTTATATAGGCGCCAGAAGAATAGAGCCTTCTGCTATTTCTGTTCAGCCATTCAGAAGCTTCCCATTTGTGCTGAATGTGGTAAAGTATTTTAAAATATATTTCCTAGATCCTACTGTATTCACTGAATGCAGAATCTACTATATGTCTATATTATATAGTGGTCAGTGGCAGAAACTCAGTTTTTCCAGGGGGGGGGGGCAAAGCCTCCTAAATTTCTGACAATACTTTAAAATTTCTGACAACCCCCCCCCCCATTTGCACTCTTAGGTCAAAATTTTGCCCCCATCCCCCGCCCGACCGAGATTTCCGCCACTGAGTGTGGTGCTGATGAGTTCATACTTTTGTTAGGAAAGTCAAAGTGTATGTCAAAAACTGGTGATTGTATTGTCAAACATCCAAACTCTCATGCTGTAGGGATGGGAATGGTTGTAAGTTGACTGCTTTTTAATTTTTGTTTCATTCTTCTGGTAATATGGCTAAATTATTATGAATACTTTTAAATTAAATGACATGAGGTCACAATTTCACATCACATGTCACATGAGGTCACAATCTCATGATATGATATCACATGATCTGTCACATTACATGTCACATGATATGGTGTTACATGTCACATGATGAGGTGTTGCATGTCACATGATATGGTGTTACAGGTCATATGATATGGTGTTACATGTCACATGATGAGGTGTTACATGTCACATGATGAGGTGTTACATGTCACATGATATGGTGGTACATGTCACATGATATGGTGTTACATGTCACATGATGAGGTGTTACATGTCACATGATATGGTGGTACATGTCACATGATGAGGTGTTACATGTCACATGATATGGTGTTACATGTCACATGATGAGGTGTTACAGGTCATATGATATGGTGGTACATGTCACATGATGAGGTGTTACATGTCACATGATATGGTGGTACATGTCACATGATGAGGTGTTACATGTCACATGATATGGTGTTACATGTCACATGATATGGTGTTACATGTCACATGATATGGTGTTACATGTCACATGATATGGTGTTACATGTCACATGATATGGTGTTACATGTCACATGATATGGTGTTACATGTCACATGATATGGTGGTACATGTCACATGATGAGGTGTTACATGTCACATGATATGGTGGTACATGTCACATGATGAGGTGGTACATGTCACATGATATGGTGTTACATGTCACATGATATGGTGTTACAGGTCACATGATATGGTGTTACATGTCACATGATGAGGTGTTACATGTCACATGATATGGTGTTACATGTCACATGATGAGATCACATGATATGTCACATGATATGGTGGTACATCATATGATATCACATGATGTGGTGTGACCCTCATGTGTGATGTCACATTACATGTGTCACATGATGATGTTGCATGATATAATGTCACAGGATATGATGCAACAAGATATGATGCAACATTACATGTATCAGATGATATGATGTCACATGACATGTATCACATGATATATGATGTCACATTACATGTGTCATATGATGATGTCACATAATATGTCACATGGCATGGTGTCACATGATATAATGTCACAGGATATGATGCAACAAGATATGATGCAACATTACATGACATCTCACATGACATGAAGCAGGGCTCGAAATAGCGGGCTGCCAATGGCCAAAAGCAGGCCATATTTTAGAAATGGCAGGCAAAAACAAATTTGAACTGCCAAGTAAAATAATGGCAGGTGAAATTCTATGGATATATTTCATTTCATTTGCTTACCACAACTCACATATATTAGATCATTTAGTTAACTAAATACATTTATATTTGAAATTTAAATCCAAGTTTACTGTAGTAAAATAGACAAGTTTAAAAACAATAGAAATGCATATCATGAAAACATTGATTTTTACAAGAGGACTCATATAAGACATGGCCATTTTGGCAGTTCAATGAATACTGAAATGACAGGCTAAAATTTATTTCACCTGCCAAAAAATTTTAGACTGGCAGGCCATATTTTTTCTCTACTTTGAGCCCCGCATGAAGTCGCATCATCACATGTCGCGTCACATGGTAACGTTTCCTATTTGTTCTTAGGGTGCCATATGCGATTTTTGTGAAGCATTTGTGTGTCATGCCAAGAAATGTCTTACAACGCATGCGTGTGAATGTGTTGCTCGTGATGGTGATTGCATTGAATGTCAGCGTGGTGTATGGGATCATGGTAGGTTGTCATGTTTCCCAAATTTTAAATAACTTGAATTGGCAGACACTAGAAGATAGGCGAATGAAACAAAGATCTTGTCTAATGTTCAAAGTGTACCACAAATTAGGTCCATCTTATCTTTCACAGCCATTTAATCGAGCGAATTTAATTCACAGTCATGGTACACGAGGTCATGAGTCATGACTACAATTTTGTTATCCCTAAACCAAACACCAATTTTTTGAAAAATAGTCTCGTCGAATATAACGGAGCAGTGGTATGGAATTCAATACCAATTGAAATTAGGAATTCCACTTCCCTAAAAATATTCAAAAATAAACTGTAGAATTACTTTGTTATGTATATAGCTTTAATTTCTCACTCTCCTTGTAAATATTGTAAATAATTCAAATGTCACGGCGCCTGGGAAGATCATCTTATTTTCGATGACAGGCCTCCGTGCCTAAATAAAGTTCACTATCACTGTCAGAGACTGTTAGCAATGCAAGAATCAATAAAAGACAATAAGACATCGGTTTCTCTACATGTTGGCGCGGTTATTCTTCTTAACAGGTGAAGTCAAGATTTTTATTAAGAGGAGATGTTTTTGTATGTTACGTAACACGCGCTCAAAACCAATGCGTATAATATACCACTTGTGGTTAGGCCAAATAAAAATAATAGTTGGTTTCAGGTTTCACAGCCATGTTTTATATGGGTAGGTAGGTCGGAAAAACATTTTATTTTAAAAAAGTATTTTATCTCAAGTATGCAATAAATATAAGATAAATCTCATTATAAACTCTTAGTTTTTATTGTTTTAACGTCAGGTTTTCACCTGCATACATATAAAACTTGACATGCAAGGAAACGAGCAGCAACTAAATATTTAATGTCAACAATGTTCAGTCTAAACGTTTAAATGTCAATAAAATGTTTATGGTCGTTCATATTTTTGACAGGTCGGTCGGAAACCTGAAACCAACTATTATTTTTATTTGGCCTTATGACTAAATTCAAAATTTTTATTTTTCGATACGTTTCTCAATCGGCAAACGAACTTAAAAAGTATGTTTAGTGCTTTATCTGTAAAATAATACTAAAATGAAGAGATTTTAGATGATACGCCAAAGAGAAAATGATGTCTGAAGTTCAGTAAGTTTTGCTTATATGGCTGCAAATATGGCGTCAATTTTAAAGCATCATTGATAATTGTATTTTAATTGACAATTTTTAACTATTATTTTATGTTTCTCAACTGGCAGATGCATTTAAAAAGGTTGCTAACTGTATAAACTAGAGAATAAAGCTAAAACAAAGTAATTTTGAGAGGAACGCCAAAAAGATTTTAGGTTCTGAACACTTTTCATTGTAAATACGTGACATCGAAGAAAATTGCCTCTTAAATAAATTGTATATTGTACACACGTAAAACGCACAAGTTGTAACAAACCTGCAACAAACTTGTAACAATGCTGTTCCAACAACTTGTCAACAGGATTTGTTCACACTCCTTGTTCCCAGTTTGTTGACGGCTCGTTGACAACTTGCTACAAGGTTGTTGAGCTCAATAGACAATTTGTTATCGTCCTGCAATTCAACAACTTGTCAACAAGTTGTGAGTGACAACCTTGTAGCTACTTGATAAAATAACAGCATTGTTAGAACTTGTTGACAAGTTTGCTACAAGCCTGTTGCGAGCACATCTTGTTAACAAGTTGTGTGAGATTTTTACGTGTGTTCGTTACATTGTATCCGTTTCCTTTTCAGGTGGTAGGATATTCCGTTGTTCATTTTGTAGCAACTCGCTCTGTGAAGATGATCAGTTTGAACATCAAGCAAAATGTCAAGTGCTGGAGTCGGAAGATTACAAATGTAGGTTGCCTTTTTGCTCTTCAGTTGTGTGCGTATCTGAAATGGGCAATTCCAGCTATATAGACTCAATTTTGATCTAGGCAAGAAGAACAAAATCCATATGGCACCACAGCTAGAAAGAGCATGTTAAAATTAGTATATAGCCCTATGGAATTTGCAAATTTTTTACTATTAATTTGTATTACGCAGCACGGGAAAATGCACCACTTTCGGCCAAATGTGGTGCATTTTCCCGCGCGTAATACAAATTAATACAAAATTTGCAAATTTCGCAGGGCTATATTTTCCGCATTTTACAACATTTCGCGACCAAACTGTGCAATTTTGCTAATTTTAACATGCTCTTTCTAGCTGTGGTGCCTAGATCAAAATTTAGTCTATAGGTGGAATTACCTATTGATGTTTTGTCACATACAGTGTTATTGATTCTGTTGTTTAGGTGGATCTTGCAACAAATTAGGACAATACTCGTGCCTTCGATGCAAGGTGGGTAAACAAAATTTTATTTTGCCAAAACATAGTATCTTTGTGATTATATACCCAAAAAATCATTTCAGTTACCTTCAAATACTATGATATGATTGTTGAAAAATGAAAACGAGTTCTACAGAGTTTTTGATCGTTTTCTATTCTCCTTTCATAGCTGTGCTTCTGTGAAGATCATGTTCGTCGCAAGGGTGTGAAATACAAGCGTGGTGAAGAAATCCCATGCCCTAAATGTGGTTTTCAAACAAGTGCTACCAAAGATCTTAGCATGTCGAGTAAGTACTCAAATGGCCAGTTCCTGTGTCTCTCACCTGACCTGAAAACAACCGACCCTGAAAACACCGATCTTGTAAGTGAACCAGTTTTTCAGACTCGTTTGTTTTCAGGCTCGGTACTTTCAGGCTTGGTTGTTTTCAGGCTCGGTGTTTCCAGGGTTGGATGTATTCAGGGTTGGTTGTTTTCAGGGTTGTTTGTTTTCAGGGTCGGTTGTTTTCAGGGTCGGTTGTTTTCAGGGTGGTTGTTTTCAGGGTCGGTTGTTTTCGGGGTCGGTTGTTTTCAGGGTCGGTTGTTTTCAGGGTTGGTTGTTTTCGGGGTCGGTTGTTTTCAGGGTCGGTTGTTTGCAGGGTCGGTTGTTTTCAGGCTCGGTTATTTTCAAGGTCGGTTATTTTCAAGGTCGGTTGTTTTCAGGGTCGGTTGTTTTCAGGGTCGGTTGTTTGCAGGGTCGGTTGTTTTCAGGCTCGGTTATTTTCAAGGTCGGTTGTTTGCAGGGTCGGTTGTTTTCAGGGTGAAAAACACATGCAATGTGAATCACAATACGTGAATACTGACACTTGGAAACAATATTTTAACATTTATGATTTATTTAACTGTAGCTCGTCGCATGGATTACGGTCGACACGCGACGGGCAATTACGAATGATGACGCGTCCTACTCTGGTTTCTATGGTTACGGTGGTTATACCTATGGTGAGGAAGATGAAGACGATGAGGAATCTGAAGATGATGAAGTGGAAGTTGACGAGGAAAATGACGAAAAAGAGGGAAGCGAAGTGGAAGGTGAGCTTGAACGTTGTTGTGAAGACGATCAAGTTGAAAATGTTCTCTTAGGCTCTTTAGAGAAAACAAAAATTTAAAAATTTAAAGTTTTAAAACTCGAACGCAATACAAATTGCTTTCATCGAACTAAGTAGTGTTACCATGTATGAACAGTATTATACATTGTATTGACAAAGAACCACAACACGCGGTCGTCCGTGATGTCTACATTGATTGTATTTGGCAACTTGCTTAAACGGACTCTTACCTCTTCAAAAATGCAACATTCGTTTATTCCCAAACTAAGTTCGCACGGAATAAACGCTACTATAGTAGTATACACCTATTATAGACTAATTCTAATTTTAAGACTAATTCCCATTATAGACTACACCTATTATAGACTAACTCTAATTTTAAGACTAATTCCCATTATAGACTAATTTTAAAACTAGGTATGGCGATGCAAATAAATCACCACAGCTAGAAAGAACATACTAAAATTAGTAAAATTGCAAAGTTTGGTTGCGAAATGTTGTAAAATGCGGAATATATAGCCTTGCAAATTTTGTATACTTTTGTATTGCGTGGGAAATTCAACTACCATTTTCGGCCCAAATGTGGTAGCTATTCGATGGAAATTTTTTCCAAAGACCCGGACAATTTTATGATTAATTGCGCATGATCGTTATGAACTTGGTTTTACGGATGTTTTTACCAAGATAATAGATTATTTTTGGAAAAAATAGCATAATTTATAGTGCTGAATTATAGCTTTCATAAAACATCGTAAAGTAATACACCTTTGGCTTTGTAAATCTAATGAGTCGACAACGCGCCATCTTGCGAAGAAAACTTTAGAAGCACAAGATAAAAATAGCATAATTCATACACGGGGATAAACATTGTTTTGATTTTGCGCCTGAAATACGCATGCGTTTGCCTGCCAATAAGCGCGCACATGCTATTTTGAATGCTTTAGCACGCTTGAGTTGTGCTGGGTTTTTTTACATGTCAGCGCATACTAGCAGGCAAATATACATAAAATCTGTAAACAATGTTTTCCTGTCTATAGTGCTCAATGATGACTTTTAGAAAACAACATGATATAATAATACGCCTTTGTAACTCGAATGAGTTTGCGTCATGTTGTCAATAACCTGCCTTCTCGCCATGCATCAAAACCGTTCACAAGCTTATTTAGAATTTTTAACTATACATGACTAGACGTCATGTATCATTAATTAAAATGCACAAGCGCAAGTGTCGCTAGCAGACACCTCAGTTAAATTCTGCACGCACATTTTAAATTTCTGACTTAAGTGAGATTCTTTTTTGCAATGCTGCAGTTTTTTTTTATTTTGACATGCACACTATAATTAGAAAAAAAAACAATTCAAGTACATTTCTAATATATGCTTCCTAAACGTTGAGTGCGTCCTCCTATACGCCTATGTATTCCATACAAGCATTTAATGAACTGTTTTAATCCTCCATGACAATAAGCCACTAATAACGAGCTTAAACATTGTTATATAGTTGCCATTTAATTAAGTTGTATGAGGCCAGCGCCTTAAATCGTGCTTCAATACCTTTGAACTGACAATCAACAACAATTATAGGCACCTGTGGTTCTGCTTGTTTTCTTTCACAGCTCGCCATACTATTGTCGCATGACACGCCAAGGAAAGGGGGCGTTTTGTGAGTAAGATTAGATTATATAATGTACAAAAATTCAAGTCACAAAATCATAAATTTTGTTTAAAGGATTCTCTAACTCATGAACACAAACAATAGTCACTCATGACAATTTGACTTGTTTTACTTAACATTGTTTGTCATGAGCTTTGTGTTTGTGAACGGCTAACACTTACTATAGATGCCGCGTTTATACTTTCTTTAATGAACTTTGATGTGGACAGACTAATTATAAGTCCATTAGTCTGGCGTTGGAATAAAGTATATCTTAGAGAGACGAAAGGATTAACTTGTTAAATTTTAAAACTTGTCAAATTTTGACATTCGTTTCGAAAATGCACAGTAAATTTTCGAACACATACAAAGTCCGCAATACTCTTCGCATTCAGATTCTTTTCATGGATCGTTAAAATGTTGTATATATAATTTTTACTGAATTTAACTATATGCTGTTGTTAATTAAACAATTATTAGCAGTCGTCCGGTAGTAAGGGTTATTTATACATATTAAAATATATTTTGCGGAATGCGAGGTATGGTTTATTTTTTGCTAAGGGGAAAAAGGCGCGCGATTAGGAATTTTAAGAAATCCTACGAAATTCTGGCCCGGAAGTCAAAATTCAAACCCGATTACCGAAGAGACTCGATAATGTTGGACCCGAAGTTGGACCAACATATTTTGGACTGTTTAGTGAACGAGGATTTAGTCGGTCCAGACACACCGGACGCGATTCGACAACGCGACGCGATTTTTCAGTTTTTGAAAGGTTAATAAGAACAGCCAATGAGAAAAGAAAATTTTAAAAGATATGTAGATCAAATAACTCAAAATGTTATATAACGCTTCTAAATATTTGGAAAAAATCAAATAGAATCAAAGTTATCGGTCAGTGAAAATCGAAAAATCGCGTCGCGTTGTCGAAACGCGTCCGACGTGTCTGGACCTTAAGGTGTGAAAAATTCGCGGAACATTTGCGGGCTAGTATGAAAATTTTGCGACGAGATTTTGGAGATTTCGTAAATGCTGTGAATCGATGATACATACAGTTCGCGATCAGACGCGTTCGAGAGTTGCAACTTTTATCTCTCATTCTCCGAGCCAATGCGAAGTTGTCTTGTTATCTGACCGTGTAAACACAATATTTCGCCACGAGACTCAATTACTCAGTCATATTGTATAGAGATCTGTGTTAAACGCCAACTAAACTAAGTGAATTAGCTGACTTTTAACAGCGGGGCGCACCACTCAATAGGCCTTTTAACTTGTTTGGCCAGGCGACCTCAGCAAGATGGCGCACCTGTGTCCAAGAATGGATGAACCAATCAGAACGCAGCTTGAATGACACTTAAAGCGAAGTTTTCGAACGATTTAAAAGTCAGCTTTCCGCAACGAGGTTGTGTCAGATATGGAGAGCGTGTTGAGCATGAATGCCACGTCGTATTACGGGTTTAACAATTGTGGACTGTTGTACGCTACCGCGGAGCAAAATAACCCATCTTTGGCCGCCCAACGCGCGCTGGATTTATATAACTTGCGAACGAGAAACGCCCCAATTGAAACAGCCCAACAACAACAAGGCACCTTCCAGCAACAGGGCAACAAACGTGAACGCAAAACGCAACCAAATCGTTCGCGAACTCTGTACAACAAAAGACTACTGGTGAACGCCCGTGAACGAGAACGGATGAAGACGTTAAACAAGGGATTTGAAAATCTACGCAATGCTTTGCCTTGCTACATTGCGGACGGACATATCTCGAAGATTACGACTCTGCGTCTCGCTATAAACTATATTAAATCATTGAGCGCTGTTTTACAAGATGCTGCCACCCAAGAGGGACAAGCATTAAGTGAACAAGCTCTGGTAGAACAAACGCCTTGCAATGCACAGGTGAATCTTTTAATGAGCACAGCCATGAATTTGACTGAAACGACTAGTGTTTTGCCTGATGCTAATGTCAATGAGTTAGGGAGAACTTATAGTCCCCAATTTGCTCCGATCTTAGGAGCACCTCAGAAAACAGAGCAATGAACGTCAAAGACAAGACGGGAAAACTTATAAGAAAGATGCTTTTAAAGATCACGCAAAGCGCCAGCGAAAATCTACCAGAAAACTTATATATATATATATATATATATATATATATATATATATATATATATATATATATATATATATATATATATATATATATATATATATATATTGGGAGATATTTAAATGTATTATATAGAGAGAGTACATAATTGAGTTTGTCTATTAATAAATATTAAAACGTTAAAATAATGTGTATCTACGAAAAATGTGTGTCTATTAAAGTTTTAGTTAAAAGAGCTATAGCGCTCCACAAAAAAAACTATCGAACAACATATTGAATACATATACTTGACTGCAAAGTACAATCTAAGTTTTGTTGTTTTAAAATCACTGGTACAAATGCTTAAAAGTGATATATTGTTAGTTTTGTTTAAAAATCGACTGCTCTAACTTAATATATTTAAATTTTATGCACCAATTTGTTAATTTAAGCATTTGCTAAATAAGCCCATCTATCAACCATTATCAGAAAACGCAATTTAAAATTTTACTTGCCACGAAAAGTAGAATCATTACATAACATTTTTGCGACCTTATTTTCCTGAAAAAGTACAAAATGTTTGTACTGTTTAAAAACGTGAAATTAGAGAATGTTTGATGACGCATTGCCTGTGTAGTTCACAAAGAAAAAGCAATTTAACATTGTTTATATATATATAGATATAATGTAGTTATTATACGACAATTCCATTAAAAATTTAAACACGCAAAAGCATCATTATTCATAGCTAATTAACCATCTGCAGAAATAAGTAAAAGCCCTCGCCACGATTTGCTTAACCCTAAGTCAACCTAAAATTCAAAGCAAACTTACCAATAGCTCATTTGTTTAAAAATTTTTCTTTAGAAATCATGTCAGTCCGGACCAGTAGGAGTTTTCTTCTCTGAAATTTTGAAATAAACAGACGTGCAGAAATACAGAAACTAAAACAAATAGCGGGTTAAATTTTAACCGAAGGTTAGCGCTACTCCATCTTTGAACAATCAGGCCCCAGTCGACCAAATTTTTCATGTATATTGTTGAAAAGTGAGGGATATACAGTAATTATCACCGGGTTATGTTTAAATCACGTTGCAGTGCACAAATGTCTTGACAAATATTGTGCGTGTTCATTTGATCGTGTGGATCATTTTGCACTAATGCGCATTTGTCCACGATTTGCACCTTAAGATAACACAAACATGCTTTTGTTGAATTTTACACGAATTTCGTTAGGCGACATGTAAAAGAAAAAACGCTTTTTATTAGTTGGATTGTGAATGTAAAATTTCATATTTTATAGAAGCATCGCGTGTGATCATGCGTGTTTAAACACTAACATTGTTAAACAGTTTCCAAATTGCTCTATAATACGATTATATTCGTAATAGTGTTTATTGAAATGTGTTTCCAAATTGCAGCCATACTTCTAAAATGTGTTTCCATGAAGCTATATAATTTAAAATAGCGGGTGATCTAAAGAAGTATTTTATATCCATATAGAATTATGTAGTTAAAAATATTGAACGATATGACAAGAAAATTATTCAATTTCAGTACAGTAATATACAAGGTGTGAACAGCCTGTGCATTTGAGCACATCAGATAAGATATGTACATAAATTATATTTTTGATAATTTGATAAGGCCTGCATACAAAGAATTGCAAAAAGCTCTGTTGAAAGAGAAAAGCTAAAAGAGACTAATTAAATCGCACTTTTTGTCGAGTAACGTATACTATATATAATAGACCCATTACAGTTTTCTTTAAAATGAGCTGACTCAATATAGATGCAAGCTGGGGTCTATTGCGGGCACTCGGTTTAACAATACTCAATAGACATGTGTATGCATGTGGGAACATAGCAGTTCACCCTCGCTGTATGACTAAACCACAGGATAATTGTTTTATTAAGTTGTAAACTGTTTTCCCTCGAGCATGAAATCCAGTATAAGTTTCCTCCTTCTTCTAAAATGCTTTATTTATACTGGATAACTTTATCAGTTCTAAACTGTTCTTCCTATATAGAGGTCCAGTCAGGATCATCTTTTATTGATCCACTGTTACTACAGGAGGAAACCTAAACTAAACTAGCTTTATTTACACTGGACAGCTCTATCAGTTCTAAACTGTTCTTCCTAGAGGTCCAGTCAGGATCATCTCTTATTGATCCAGTGTTGCTACATGAGGAGGAAACCTAAACTAAACTAACTTTATTTACACTGGATAGCTCTATCAGTTCTAAACTGTTCTCCCTCAAACGCGAGATCCAGTAAGTCTCATCCCTGATCTAAAATACTTTATTTATACTGGATAGCTCTATCAGTTCTAAACCGTTCTCCCTAGAGATATAATAAGTGTCATGCCTGATTGAAAATACTTTATTTATACTGGATACTTTTGTCAGTTATAAACCGTTCTTCGTCCACCGAGAGATCCAGCATGTATGTATAACATCCCTGATCTGAAATATTTTTCAACTCAATACCTCTTCTGTTCTAAACCGTTCTCCTTGGAGATCTTGGCTATCTCTGATCTAGAATCACCTTACTTTAACACATATTGGATATTTGGATAAGCTGTTGTCCTATAGAGGTCCGGTAAGGATCAATCCCTTGTTTACACTATCAAAATTAAGCCTGGGGTATCCTTATGGTCGTAAAGATTGAGTCATGATCTTTCTCATGAAAATACGCGGAGTGATTATAACTAGAGAATACTTATGATTTATATGTGGTTTACAGGTATAAACTATTATAAACTGGCCGTTGAGAAAGATCGTGACTCTATTTTTGCGATCATTTGGAAACCAGACTTGCATAGGTAAATTCTAAGTTTTGAAGGATTATAGTAAGAAACGTTTGAGGGAACTCAATGTTAATCGCCTTTATATTGAATAGCTTTTATTAGTTCATTGTGTTCTCTAACTACAGAGGTAGATCACTGACCCGAATGAAGTATACTGGATAGTTTTATCAGTTGTAAATTTGGACTCACTATAAGAGATCGAGTAACCGGAAGCAATTAATGTACTGACATGACGCAAAAACATTTGGTCTCGCAATTTCCTATATTTCAGGAACGGACACCGGCCGCAAGCATGAATGGCACATGTACCTACTGTGCCGTCAGTTATATCGTTCTGCGCGCCTGGGGTGAATACCGGTACGACGAGTTAATTAAAACGGAAATGCGGTTATTGGAACCGCAGTATTTGCCACTGTGAGCATTCAAAAATGCCTCCATGTTCTGGGCACCTGTCGTGCGTGTCTTTATACCATGGCATGCAAGATAGCATCAAGGAGGTCGTATTTTAGCGAGGCACCGTCGTCCGCGAACCAAGAATATATTATAACAAAGTAAAATAAAATAAATATTGATTTAGTCCAACATTATACAGCTGCTTTGCTAATGCTTTTTGGTTCGCTGTTATGCAACACTTGTTCTCAAGTGATCATGTAGTGGCACATATCCAAACTATTGTCCATTTGCCGATTCAACTATTGTTTGGTAAAAGAATAAGAATTGAATCTTCTGTAGAATGTATGTATGTTTAAACACTGGCTTGTCGACCTCCCGTGCAACTCTTGTTCTTGTTGGACATGAGTAATGTTGACAGAACTCTTAGCTCGTGCAAATCTTGTTCTGGTTTGCGGTAAAGTCATATTAAAGTTGAGCAAACTCTCGTTTTAAGAAAATTCTAGTTAAGAAAATTTTCCTGTTAACTAGTGCTTGTCAACTAGTGGCATCATGGAACTTTTGTTACTCATTTAACCAAACAAAAAAAAGTTCAGAATATGAATGCTCGCCATGCAAAACCTCGCTTCTCAACGCCCATGCTTGTTTATTCCCAAATTCTCGTGACTTCTTTGTTTAGTAAACTCTTTATTACGAAAACATCTTTGTTCAACACAATATTGCACTCAGCTGCTCACAAACTCAACGATATATTTTCCCAACATTCTGCAAGGTCCTTGAAACATGAACTTAAAAAGCGGTTTTTTATCTTTTATTCATGCACGATAGCTCTGTCTAAGCCATCTGTGCCGAGCGAAGGTCTTAATGGACTCCCCTATATGTCATAGAAATTCTCTTCCTAATGTTATAATTGCGTGCGACAGTGGCAGACAGTTAAATAATTATTATTATAGGAAAATAAGCCATCACTCTATCTCTTCCCGCGCGTTGAAGGAAATTTGGTGTTTTTGCAACTGAAAAACGGTCGACTTCTGCACTGTATTGACTATGAATGCTTAATTGTTTAAATTATTATATATTCCTACATCGTCCAAAAATTTCGGCAATATTGGATGAGAATTTTGAAAAATAGTCGAACCTGATACAACAGTCAGGAAAATTGAAAATAATCGAAACCTGATACAACAGCGACGAGAGTAGAAAATTCTATTAGATGGGTGGGAATAAGTCATTTAACAGCGATAGACAAATAGATTTAAGGTCGATAATTGAAGGATGAGTATATATTTAAAATTTATGAGTTTATTTGCATTAAACGTTAAGTTTTCACGCTGGTCAAATAACATATTCTATGGGCAAACCTTTTGAAATTAGCAGTACACAGTAGTTCAAAGTGGCAAATGAACAATTTGTTAGGCAGGAGGGTTTTTATTAAGTTTTGTTTGTTTTTCTTTGCTATATATACTAGCGCCCGTAGCGGCAAGCTGCGAGCATCTTGACATAAGATGTGATGCATCGCGTCATTGACTTAAAACAAACTACGTTTATAAGATGCGTGCACCAATATCGCGCTATCACACAATAATGCAATTATAAAATGCGTGAGCGATCGAGCAATTTTCAAGATATTTTGTTCATTGTAGCTGGCCTTTAAAAGCTCTAATGTAAATTTTAAAAATGGCAAACAAACGCAATATATTTGAAAAAAAAACTTTAAAAGCGACTTGATATATTTTGTACAACAAGTTTTTTTGTAAAAGAATATTATATACCTATACGGCTAGCTGACGTATACATCCGTTTTGTTTAACTAATAAGTGTTTGAATATTAATATAATTTTAGAATAATCTCTAATTTGGAATTGACTCCATGTCTGTTTATACTGACCAACATAAATAGTTTACATAATTTAATTTTTCATACGGTGTTTGTCAGTTGATATGTAGTAGTTTTATTTTATTGAAAACTCGATGGACGTATACGTTTTTGCCTTGGTAATTCTAACAACAAGTAACTGCTTATATACATGTATACAGCTAATTCAAGAAAGGTTGTCCTTTTGCAAACTCTAAACCTTAAGCCTTAAACTCTAAGCGTGCAAAGCATAATGCGAGGATCGATTAATCCGTTTAGAAACCATATCTGGGGCCCATTTCGTAGAGACATGGTAAATATCTCCTTGCGAGTATACAATTCATTCACAAAAAGCTGCAATATTCAACTATTAAGCTGGAAACTTTTGCTCCCATTATAAGCTTTGCGCACTGAAGGCCTGATTCCACGGGCGCTTTTACTCGGCGAATTTCGCCTGTTTCTTTTGAATTGTGGGCAATCAAGTAGAAATAATTTATTCGAGTGGTCGCAATTCAAAAGAAACAGGCGAAATATTTCGCATTTCGCCAAGAAAAAGCGCCCGGGGAATCAGGCCTTTAGAGTTTGCAAAGCCGGAGAACCTTTTTTGAACAAGATGCTGGGTAGGTATTTACTTGGGCGACTCACATGCCTCAAAGCATCATGGGGGACAAAACGAACACCAGAGAAAACAAAGCAATATCGCCCAAGTAATTAGCTGTATATTGCGTTACTAGACTGCACTGCTATAGCCTCCCCTATGGAAACCAAATGTTGAATATTCCTAGCTAATTTTTCGTATTTTACGGTCCATAATTACGTTCTTTCAATATTGTACCAGCTTCAATACACTCCGATACCCAGGTTTCCGTGACCACGTGCGCCTTGCGTGGTCGATCACGTGACATCTGTTGAATTAGCGGTAGTCTCGATAGGTCTCTGAAATGAAATATTTGACGTATACTTAAATACAAAAATGCAAACGAACGTATCGATCAATCTTCGAAAGTTTCGAGAAACGTTTTGCTTGTTCTCGTATTTGTAACAATGCTATTATTTTGTCAAGTTGCAACAAGTTTGTCACTCACAACTTGTTGACAAATTGTTGAATTGCAGGACGATAACAAGTTGTCGGAACCTGGACGTTTTTATAGTGCACAACAACTTGGGACCAAGCAGTGCTTTGTAGCAAGTCTATTGCACGCCTATAATAACTTGTGTGTGTTTTCCGTGTGCAGAGAACAGATTACATACTTGATACTGACTTGTCCCCATCCATTATTCCAACCCGCAAGCGCCTGCAAATTTGCGCCTGCATTTCCTAATTTTTCCAAAGCAAATTTGAGGGACTGTGGAAGGATCGATACTTGATATAACCACAGAATAAAGACATACAGAAGTGTAACTTCCATTACAAAACCGTAAGGCGCTTTTTTACCGAAATGGCTGGCGGCCATGTTCTTAGCAAGTGCCCTAAAGAGAGGCATTCACCCCCCCTGGAATATTAAATTTTCAATATGTTTTCAGGGGGCGACTGCCTCTCTTTAGGGCACTTGCTAAGAACATGGCGGACTGAAAAAATCCCTTACGCACTTTTAATAAGAAGATACACTTCTGTATGTCTTCATTCTGTGATATCACATTACCTTTGGCTCATAATAACATGACTGACATCCTCGTCAAAAGTATCGCTTAGCTGCCCGCCGTAGTAGCGCAATTCAGAGGCTTGGATATCCAAAGTACAGCTAGGAATTTTCTATAAACGGAATAGGAAATACTTAATGACAATATATGGCGTTTAGATAATAATGATGAAGCTATTCATTCGATATGCAATAAATAAAAAAACTTGTATGTACCGTTTGAGGATCGCCAATTTCTAAAAATCGATCGACGTAAAACCTTCAAAAATGAAATTTGTAAATAATGAAATGCTGGACTTAGATTTCTGCATGACCGCAAAAGGAGGCTTAATATAGAGGGGGCTCTTACTGAAGGCCAAAATGGTAACCCAACCATTCACTATACATGTATTTTGTGTATTAGCCATTCCGAAGTTCATGAGAGGACTGGGGACGAATGTTAAAAAGTGGCCAGATTAAGAAATGAACCAAATCGCTAAAAAGACCACCTCAAAATTTGTAAGTATACAAAGTTTGAAGACATTTACACGAATACCCTTCGAATCATAAGCTTTCGAAAATCGCGATATTTACTATGAAATGTACTGTAATTTTTGTTTTTTGGGACGCGTGTCCCAAAAACAATCTTTTAATCAGTAATTTCACAATTTCCGAAAGTTTATTATTCGAAGGCAGCCTAGTCCCAGGCTCTCTCTCTCTATTCGCTGCTTTGACATATTTAAATGAGTCTTAAAAGTTTTATGCCTGGGTGTGCTGTGCGGAACGCTTCAGCGAGAGAGCCTAGCAGATTTCGGTAAAATGGTCCCTGATTTCAAAAAAGTGGTCCCTGGCCTGGTTACCAAGCATACCGCATTTGTAAATAGAAAATGTTATGGAAATTTCCTTTGCGTTTATAATTAAGTCATTAGTTCTGCTCTAATGCTGTCGGAACAATGAAATAGGCTACGTTTCTCTACCATACGGTCAGAATGGATTAACTGGCTAAATATGACTCGTGTTTACTAAAATTTTAAGCCATATTAAATGATATCTAGAAGCTTGAAAATTATGCCGAGTCTCCGACTAAAAATGTTTTGACAACACAGTCATGTGAGGCAAATTTTCCAATCTCCTCAGCTACTTAAAACTGTCAACTAGAAAACGTAGTTGTGTATACCAGTATCATGGTCTAGTGTTGATTACAACTTGCGAGTATATAAATATCATCAACGATTATACGACCATTGCTCAGACTCAGTATCGTAAATTTGTATATATTTTTTAATTGAGCACATTTTTAATACAGTTTGAATTTGGTTATATAGACATCGAACATGATCAACGAACATTGTCGTATTTATACAAAGTTATTTGTATATATAAATTTTCCGCCATATTAAAAATACTGAAATCTGCTAGGCGTTCTGAAGCACCTCTAGCGGTGACGTCACACCTAGGTCCCAGTCTCTTACTACATCTTGCTTCAGAACGACTGGGACTAGGCTGATTCGAAGGGTATTCATGTAAACGTCTTCAAACTTTGTATACTTACTAATATTGAGGTTGTCTTTTTAGTGATTTGGTTCATTTCTTAATTTGGGCACTTTTTAACACTCGTCCCCAGTCCACTCATCAACTTCGGAACGGCTAATAGAGAAGGGAGAGGGCGATGGCATTACAGGTAACTTCGTGAAACGTTCGTCTTTTGACTTCGTAACTCATTTGGAATTTTCCTCATTAGCTTTGCAAATTTGAAAAACTCTTTGCAAATCCCTTGAGGGAATTTGCAACGTTCCTATCGGCTGTTGCAATATTCCAAACTTCATTTTAAATTTCCTAACTTCCTGTTTTAATTTCCTAACTTCCTGTTCTGTTCTGAGCGTTGTTATTGGTCGATTATTTTTGTTAGCCAATTGCAACGCCCAGAACAGAACAGGAAGTTAGGAACTTGCAACAGGAAGTTAAGAACTTCTAACAGGAACTGAGGAAAATTTTATTGGCTTTTAGCAACATTGCAAATTTCCTCGAGGGATTTGCAAGGGAGTTTTTTAAATTGCCAAAGTAATGAGGAAAATTGCAATCAATTTAGAAACTCAAAAGAGGAACGCTTCACGTAGTTTACCTGTAATAATGCAAATTCCTTGCTTTAAAAAGATGGTGCTTATAATAGAGAAGGTTTATTATAGAGAATGTTCGCTACCTGTATTGTCTAAATAAGCCAAGAGTTGAATTAGGAAAATATCGCGATTCTACTTGAGCTATTTCACTCTTCGTTAACTTAACCACGTTTTGCTGAAAGAACAAAGAAATCACGAAATTATCCAATCAAATTACTCTATTTTGGTTACATGTTTCCAAGAGCGCGAAACAAGGACGCATTCGAGGAACATTGCTTCACCTTTTCATCGATTCGTTCAAAGATTTGTTTTAAAGATTCCGCGTCTAAATCTTTGGTATAACTGTCGCCATTTGCGTCGTAATCCAAGGCGAACCTGTCCTTCGTCTTTGGCGACATGTACATCATGTGACTTGGTAGCCATGGCAACAGTTTGTTGCTTTCCTGACAACAGACATGAGAATATTATAAAGTTTACAGTAATGATAATCGGTAATAGTAATCAGTATATAATCAACTTAAACCAATCAATAATAGATAACAGTAATCAATACAATCCGTAGGATAGTTATATAAATAATGATTAAGTGTATTTAGTATAATTACATAGGTGATTATTGAAAATTCTCCACGCTGATTGGTTGCCGTTGAGGTGATTATTACGCGATAATCACCTAAGCGATTTTCAAAATGGCGGCCGAAGCCTTTTTGTCAATTAAATGACGAAGAAATGTGTATTTTTTTATTTTTTTCCAAATAATCACCTATGAAATTATACTAAAACAATTATTCACCTCAGGCTCGGTGATTATCGTGAATAAAAACCTCGACTTCGTCTCGGTTTTTATTCACCGATAATCACCTCGCCTTCGGCGAATAATTGTTAAATAATCAAATCTAAGAATACTTCGCTTACATCAATAACATAGTCCAGCTACAAACAAATACGATAAATCTACTTGGCTATCGCTCTATTCTATATAACCCTGCAGTAAAAAGTCAGTTATGTACTATTTAAAACACGAGTAGGAGTGTTTTATCAGATATAAAGATACGAGGCGAAGCCGAGTACCTTTAG